CTGCCCCATGTTCCCCTGCCCCGTGTCCCCCTGCCCCATGTTCCCCTGCCCCGTGTCCCCCTGCCCCGTGTCCCCCTGCCCCGTGTCCCCCTGCCCCGTGTCCCCCTGCCCCGTGTCCTCCCTGCCCTGTGTCCCCCCTGCACCGTGTCCCCCTGCCCCGTGTCCTCCTGCCCCGTGTCCCCCTGCACCGTGTCCTCCCTGCACAGGCTGCTCTCCAGCAGGGCACACGGGGCGGGGGCAGGGCAGTGCCCTGGGGGCCTCCAAACTTAGGGTTCCTACCGAGGAGGCTCCACCGCCTCCTCAGGCCGCTCGGGTCCCCTGGCCTGATGAGCAGCCCCTGGAAGCAGGACCGCTTACCTGCTGCCTTTCTCGGCCTCTGTGTAACCCACGGAACACCACACATGCCGTCCCCGCCGACAGTAGGTGTGCCGGCCGCTCTCATCCGCTCAGCCCGCCCTGCTCCGTGTGTGCTGAGCTCCTAGTCTGTCCCCGGGGAGGTGCAGAGCAGGTCTCTGCGTCCGCTGGGAATGAGATGCCCGTCCACTCGCTGCGGGCGCCCTCCTGCCTGTACCGGGGCCAGCACGAGCGTCTCCCCCGTGAATGCTGCAGTCGCCCCTTCAGTCCCTCCATCCATCTGTCCATCTCTTTATCCATCTTCCGTCTGTCTGTCTGTCATCCATCCACCCACCCACCCACCCACCCGCGCATCCATCCACTCAGTAAACGTCCATCGACCCAGGCCCCGGTTGTGCCCTGGACCCTGCCCACTGCAGAGCTGTCCTCTTGCCGCCCCGTGTCAACTTGGGCTGGGCAGCAGGGCCGTGGACGGGGCCAGGGGTGGGAGGGGGGTGCTGGTTCACGCCCTTTCTGTTTCCTGGCATGAGTGCGGTTTCCTGGTGGTTTGGACCTCTGTCCTCAGCCTTTGGTCCAGCCAGCGGTTCTGTCGCACCGCCGTTCACGGAGACACACGAGCGGGTTTCCCCTCTCACACCCGGGCCAGCGCCCTCCTTCACTCCCGTGTCACGGAGGAGGAAACGGAGGGTGCGGCCACTGCCCTAGCGTGTGAGAAATGGGAAGAAGCCAGTGGTCACGAAGGGGAGGGGGCGTGCCTCTGCAGGCCCAAGGCGCAGGTGGGGGTGGCGGCCCAGGGAGGGCTGGCAGGGAGCTGGCCTGCAGAGGACGCCAGCCCGGCAGAGTTTTGGTGGATGAGCGCACTCGCCTGTGAGGGAAAGAACTCGGAGCCTGCAGCCAGAGCCGGGGGAGGCCGGGAGGGTGGGGGTGTGGATGACCGGTCTTCGGGGGAGGTGGTCAGATTGTCTAGGGCTTGGCAGGCAGGGCAGGGACCTGCCTTAGTGGGAAGAGACTGCGCTGTGCTCGTGAATGGGATGGTTCTGTACGGCTGGAACTGGGGCCTGTGGGGGTGCGTGACTGTGGGAGCCGGCGCTGGGGCGGGGGCGCCTGTGGGAGGCTCAGAGGCAGCTGGCTCTCACTGCAGACTCGCCCCAGTTACGCCGGCATGGCAGAAATCTAGCCGGCCTAGGAAGGAGCTAGGTGCTGCCCACGCCATCCCAGTCTCCCTCTTCCCTTTCCCCTGCCGCCCTCTCTCCCTTTGCAGGGCAGCGGGAGGTGGGGAGCGGCCGGGGCCGGTCCCCGGGGCCCCTGCCACGTTGGTCCTTCCCGCCTTTGCCGTCCCTCCCACCCTGCACGAGACGAGGCTCGCACCCCTCGGCCCGCCTCGGCTGCCTTTGACGGGCCTCGCCATCTGCGGCCCCGTTCAGATGCTGCCAAGCTCCAGTCTGACGAGCGAGCGATGGGAAACGTGGAGACGTACCTCTGGGGGGAGTGAGTTCTGTGCCAGGCTGGCGGCTCCCCGGCGTGCCGCGCGGAGGCCCATCTGGGCTGCTTTGGGGCCTTAAAAAAGCACATCCCCTCCTGCCCGGCACCTCACCGGGAGAGGTGGGCCGGACGGGGCGCAGACTGGGTGCGGCGAGGCTTTGTCTGGCCCAGGGAGCAGGCATCTTGAGGCTGTGCCTGTGCCTCAGAGCTTTCGGTGCAGTGAGGGGGGCGGTGCACCCCGGGTGCACTCGTGCCGCCTGTCTGCCTCCTCCAGTGTCCCCAGTTTCCGATGTTATGGTGGTTGCAGCCAGCGCCCCCTGGGGGTTAGAAGTGGGAGGGGGCGGCGAGCTCAGCACGGGGCTCTGCCCAGGACCGATGTTCAGTCGACCTGCGTTCAGTTAGCGCGTGATTCCACTCAGCCTCGGCCCCGAGGGGCTGTTGCAGGTGTGCAACAGGGCTGCCCCACAGCGCGGCTGCTCCCCAAGCAGGTGAGGGGGGCGGGGCGCAGGCGTTCGGGGGCGGGGCGGGGGGCAGATGGTAAAAACAAGCACTGTATTGGTGGTGAGAAGGGCTTTGGAGAAGGTGAGCCTGTCGGGAGGGAGGGGTCCTGTCTTGTGGGTGTGTTTAGGAGATGCTGGTTGGTTTTTTTTTTTTTTAAGGTTTTATTTATTTATTTTTGGAGACAGGGAAAGGGAGAGAGAAAGAAAAGGAGAGAAATATCAGTGTGTGGTTGCCTCTTGCATGCCCCCCAATGGGGCCCTGGCCCACAACCCAGGCACGTGACCTGACTAGGAATCGAACTGGCTGCCCTTTGGGTCACAGGCCAGCAGCACTCAATCCACTGAGCCACACCAGCCAGGGCAGGAGACCCCATCTTGGTAAGATGGCACTTGGGCGGAGACCCTGACCAGTGCAGAGTGGCTGGTGGCTCCCCGGGCAGAGGATGCAGGCAGCAGACCGGTGCGCGCAGCACGGATGCCCTGAGGCGGGAGGATCTGGCCACTGCGGCGTCAGCAGGCCTGTGTGGCTGGAGGAGCCACACTGGTGGGGGGAGCCAGTCTGGGAGGGGGGGTCATAGCAAGACCTGGCCTGATCCTGGCCAGAGGGGTGACACAGGCTGGATTCTGTAACCGTGGTGACAGGAGGGCTGCAAGGCTGTCTGGACAGAGAGGACAAGGTGTATGGGAAGAGGTGGGTGAGCTTGGCCAGGATGTCACTGGGCAGTTGGGCCCAGAGCAGAGACCGGGGCTGGAGGCCGGCCTAGGAGAGCCTCTAGCTGCTCCTCAAGGCTGCAGGGCCGGACCACCGAGCGTCGGTGTGGTGACCAGAGGACCGAGCCCTGGGGTGCTCTGAGTGCAGAAACTGGGAGAGGAGGCTGAGGTGGGAGCACGAGGAGGCAGAAAGGCGAGGGGCATGGGGGGAGGGCCGTGGATGCTGTAGGAGACGGGCTTCCGGGAAGAAGGGGGCGTGAGCTGTGTGGGTGCTGCTCTGGGGACAGCGGGGCGGGGGCACAGGGGTCCTGGAGGCTGGCCATGTGGGCGTGGGGTCCTAGCAGGGAGCAGGCTGTGGGGGTTCGGTGCTCAAGGGAGGAGGGAGCTGGGGAGGTGGGGGGCTGCGCAGAGTGTGGGCCTACAGTGGGGGTGGCAGTCATGGGGAGTTATGAGGAATGACTGGGGTGGCATTTGAGCAGGTAGCTGTGAGCCCTGGAGGGAGGTGGACCATGAGCGGAGGGACCGGCCAGCAGAGGTCAGCTGTGCGAAGCAATGCGGAGACCGGTGGGCACCCCAGGGGCTCGGGTCCCCCAGACGGCCGTGAGGGGGTGCGGGAGGGTCTCCAGTGGCCCTGCAGGAGGGGCTGGAGTTAGGAGGTCCCAGGGCCAGCTCAGTGGCTTCCGTGGCGGGACCAGGATGGCCGCCCCGGAGCGAGCTGCCAGCCCGTTCCTGGAGTCCGGCCGGCCCAGGACCGCGGGTGAAGGGAACTGTCAGGAGATACTGTCGGTAAAGGGGACAAATCTGTTCCCCTCGGAGCTTTCCCCGCACGCCCTCCGGGGAGCTGGCTCGTTTCCTCCGAGTCAGGGCCGCCCTTGGGCCTGGTCCCGTGCGGGCTGGAGGAGGGAAACCTTCCAGGGCCCAGCCCTGCCGGCCACGCAGCACCCTCCCTCCACCGTCCCAGCCGCCGCGGGCCCTGCTGGGGCCTGCAGGTGACTCCAGGCTGGTCGGTCAGCCCCCAGCACCCTTCGGGGCTCATATGCTGCCTCCTGCGGGAAGCCCTGCGGATGGCTCTGGCTGGAAGAGCTTGTTCTCCCCGGGAAGGCCTGCGGCGCCTCGTTCTCGTCTCTGCGGGCTGGCTCCTGCCCGCGCCCCCACTCGCCGGGCTTTGGGCAGCGGTCCCGGTCCCGTACCTGCCGTGCTGTCGCTGTGCCGCAGGCTCAGGGAAACTGAGCTCACCTGAGTTCAAGTCCCAGCGTCATCCGCGTCCAGCCGGGTCCTGTTGGGTGGCCCGTGGGCCCTCCCTGAACCTCCGCTTCACCCAAGCCTGGGGAAGCGGTCCCACTGCCCTCACGTGGGCTGGGGGGCGGCAGCCACGGGGCTCCGCACGGGCGTTTCTCCCCTGGAACAGAAGTAGCTGGAGGGCAGGTGTGCGGCTGGGCGCTCGGCCCCACTGCGCCTGCTGACCTCGGGGCAGGTCTCTGCACGAACCTCCTGCAACGTCTCTTAAAAATTCCGAGGGGCTGAAACACACAGTCATATTTTTCATTCAGCTCCTAGTAAAAATAGTTTGCATATGGCTATGAAAAATAAAACTTGTGCAAGTTTAGGTATGCCAGAACTGCAGCTTTTAAGTATCGGTTAACAAAAAAAGATTTTTCATATGGCTTAAAAGGGAATGAATTGTGTATGAGACTTACTGCTTTACATCAGGGTTGTTGTTTTTCTTTTTTAAATTTACTAAGACCATTTACAGAGAAAACTGCCTTGAAAACATTCAATAAATGCAAAGTGTTCTTTTTTTCCATAGACATGTCATTTTGCAGTGCCTACAACTGTGAGTCTTGGAAAACATTTTATTTTATAAGAAGCCATTTAGAAGCTCACATTTCTTATTACCATCTCGGTTTTCAACCCTGGGTCTTTTGACTTTCCCTAAATCACTTTTATACGCAGATTTTAAAAAACATTAAAACTGTCATCAGCGCCCTGAAGCTCATCGACGTCAGCAAGACGGGCCTGGTCCAGCCGCAGGGGCTGCGCAGGGTTCTGGAGACCTTCTGTCTGCGGATGAGGGACGACGAGTACAGAGCGTGAGTAGGTGAAGGCAGGCTGAGGGGCCGCTCGGTGGGACTCGAGACCGTCCCCCCGAAACGGGGCCTGTCGGGGGCCTCGGGGCCGCGGCCGTCCCCGCGCCTGCCCGGCGCCCCCAGTGTTCCGAGAAGAGGCCCCTCCCTCCTCTCCTCTGCTGTCCCTGTCGCTCGCTCCCCGGGGTTCTCGGACGTGGGGGGCGGGGCCGAGGGTCCTGGGTCCCGAAGAGCCCGAGGTGTGCGCGCATCTGGCCCGCAGCCTCGGCGTCGTGATTAAAGCCCTCCATCACCAGCCGGCTCCCCTCCGGGCTGGCACCACGCCCTCCGTCCCACGCGGCTCCAGCTCACCGTGGACTTGTTCTCGGAGCGGGCGCGGGGAGGTGGTGGGAGGAAAACGAAAAATGTTCCGCCTGCGTTCGTGAGTTCACGGGCTCCCCGTTGGCTTTCCGTCCTGATGGAGCAGCCGAGACTCCGGCTCCTGGGAGGCCGGTCCCTGCGGCGGCTGGGGGCCGCTGCCGCGGGGGAGAGCGAACCACCGAGCACCCTGCTGCTCCTCGGTGCTGGGAAGCCCCTCTCGCGCTCCTGACTCCAGGGCGGTCCGCGTGTGGGCAGCCAGCTCGCGCTTTTTTTTTTTTTTTTTTTTTTGAGCCTCCAGTAAACTCTAGCATTTGGGAGGAGCCAGGTGTTCGGCTTCAGTGGCTCCTTGAGTGTTGAGTGGAAGCCCCTGGAAGGAGGGCCCGGGCTTAACTTTATTCGTATCGGACTCAGCTGGGAGGCGCGCTCTCTCCTGCCCTTCCCACTTCTGGAACCACCCTCCAGGCCGCTGACGAGGTGCTGCCTCCGCGGTCCACCCGGAGACCGGGCTCCCCCTCCCCCCGCGGCCAGAAGTCGCTGCGAGCGGCTCGCAGCTCGCGGCGTCCCTCAGCCCTCGGAAGTCGAGCGCGCGCACGTGACCCTCACGGGCCCTGCAGGGTCTGAAAAGCGAGGAGACGTTTAAAAAGAGGATATTTCCTAGTCTGCTGAATAATTTCTTCTTTCCTCTTTATAACCCACCTCAGAATATAAAAGCCATAATAGATGTTTTAATTTTTACATCTTTCCGGCTGGGAAAGTGTCCAGAATAAGATCCAAACAAAACAAATTAAATAATTTTGTGCACGTAATTATAGAACAGAAGCAACACTCTTTTAGAGCAGGCAATCAAAAAACAAAACTGTTTTATTTGACAATAAACCTTGCGTTTGGCACCGCAGTCTCCAACCTAGTAAATCTATAAAAAATGTTACTGTCTGTTTCCCCATCTCGCAAGCATTGAATAATAAAGAACTCCGCACGTTTTTATTGGAGATTTTTTTAAGCCTCAAAAACAATACCGCTTTCATGATAAGGCGCAAGCAACTTAATAGAATTGCTTTCCTTAAGGATGGAAACGTAGGAGATCAAAGCAGCCCATTTCTCCAACTGCTTTAATGCCTCTCTGATTGATGCTGGAGAATACACTCGTTCCTTGAGAAGCTGCTTCAGCGTTAACTTCGCCTTTTAGTTTTTTGAGCAGGAAACACAATGCATCTTTGAATCTTTTTCTCTTTTTAAACAGCTTTCTATTTCATTCCGGCCTTCAGTTCTTGGTGCGGCAGGTAGGCGTGGCCTCAGCACTGGAGTCAGGCGTGCCTGGGGTCAGGCCTGTGCCCGGCCTCTCCTCACTCCAGGGCCGTGGGGGGCTGCCACGTCTGAGACTCAGTTTTCTCTTAAAGAGCCGGGGACCGAGGAGCCCCCCTTGCAGGGCTGGCGTGGAGATTCCTCGAAATGTACAAAGCATGCTCGCCACGCGCCAGGCACGGAGCAGGTGCTTCAGTCGCAGTGACGAGACCGCCATCCTCCGACTGCGCCGGAAGCGGCTCCCTGTGGGCTCCAGAATACCGTCCCGTCTGCGTGAACAGGGGGCCAGGAAACTTGGTTCCCCCAAGTTTCGTACTTACTCAGACCGACCTGAGACCCACTGGGTTTTCTTTAATTGTTCCCATCTTGCACCACTCTACCCTCACTGCCCGCAGCCCCAAGGACTTGGACCCAGGTGAAATGATTTATAAGCAGCACAGAAACCAAACTCCCTCCCTACCCCCCTCACTAGAGGCCAGTCTGCTGCTGGAGCCTAGCAGGGAAGCCCAAGGCTCAGCTCCGGCTGGTGAACGTGGAGAGGTTTACGGGTCAGGAGGTGCCTTCCCTTTGCCCTGGGAGTCGGCCTTCCCATGTGTCCTGGGGTCTCTGTGGACCTGTGGGTTCAGGTCCCTGGGAAAGTGGCCTTGGTTGTGGCATCTTAGGAATGGCTGTGTCTCCCGGGCCTTTATTCTTACCAGAAAGCTCTGTGAGGCCCTGCAGGCTCGCGCAGCGCTGAGGCTTGTCTCTGAGATCTCGTCTGCTCGGGCGCTGCTACCACGGGCTTGCGTCTGTCGGTCTGCGCTCGGTGAACCTGCCGCCAGCACTGAGACTGAGTGTGCGCTGGGCGTTAGGAAAGGTCGGGGTGCTCTCGGGGGCAAGTAGGAGTTTGCAGGATTGCCGGATTTTCACAGAAAACCAGGAAGCCGGTGGCGAGGTTTTCATCAGCATCCTGACGTTCTTCTGGAGCAGAGAGTAGCCAGCACTTTCGGGTGGTCAGCAGACTCGAAAAGGAGCACAGTAGGGCCACTGTCTGGGTTCTGGAGCTTACAGCCTTCTCGTCACCAGACAGATGCTGTGGGTGAAAGAGGGAGCTGGTCTGCACGTTCCGGCGCCAGCATCTGGCAGCCATCATATCTCAAGACAATTTCGCTTTTTAGAACAATAGGCAAGCTTCGTCAAAGTGGGAGAAAAGGTGCTCACTGAAATGAATGCATGACATTACTCTTTGTTAAATTTGGAAAACAGGAAAATAACAAACACTTTAAGGGATAATTACTAACTTTTTAGAAAGCAGCACAGGATTAGATAATTATAGAAACCAACACATATGGAGGTAATGTAACCAAACACTTAAGGCTGTCATTTTTTAATAAATGTAATAATGCAGAAATTATGTAGAAAACCATTTATCAAGTGGCAGCTTTGAATTGGAAAAAAAAATCCCCATTTATCTTAACTTTAAAAAAGGAGTATCTGTATATTTCAGGGAGAAACATTGGTTGTGCTTTAAAATGCCCTCTTTATAGAAATCATAGCATGGGACACGCCCCCCGCCGCCCACTGCACTTGACTTGCTTTGAAACAGACTGCCACCTGGGGCCTCAGTTTCCCTGGGGAGATGATGTGCTTGCTCAAGACCGCGGGCCTCCTTCTCCCCTCCACCCAGCTCTAGGTTTCTCTGGTGAGTGACGTTTCACCGGGAGAACCTATCCACGGCCCAGCACGTGCGGCCAGTGACCCAGTGACGAGAGGAAGGTGGGGCCCACGCTGGCTCTGAGCGCAGAGGCGCCCCTCCCGCCTCCCGCCAGAGAAAGGGGGAGTCCCCAGGTGTCCCGGGCGGTCCTGTCCGGTTCGACTCCGCGCATTCGCCCAACCGCAGAGGCAAGGGCCCTCCTTAGAAGTGTCCATTTTTTAAAGAGAGGGTGCCATTTCCTAAGGTCTCGTTTTCTTCCTTTTTAAAAAAAATAACAAATCCTCAAGATTTTATTGTCATAATAAAACAAAACACGAAACTCTGAACAGGACCACGTGGCTCTTTCCCCTCCCATCCCCTCCCAGTTCGGAGGACTAGCGCCTCTCAGCGGCCAGCGCGGCCTTCGCTCTGCAGTCGGGCTCCAGGCGCTCGAGCCTCAGCACAATCTTCGTGGTTTTAGCCTTTTTGCGGAAAATCGGCCTGGTCGGCCCGCCGTGCCCACTCTGCTTCCCGTCCTCACGCCGCGTCCCTTCCCGCACTGCGGGGCTCCGGGGGCTGGCGCTCGCCGCGCTCCTCGCAGGAAGAAATCCGCGGGCTTCCCCGGTTCGCAGGGCAGAGGCGCCGGAGCTGACGCTAACTCCGGCTCCATCTAAAGGAAACACGTGAAAAGGATTGCCAGCCCCAGTGCAAACACCGCCCCCGCCCCGTCATTTCCGGTCACTGAAGCGTGTTTCCGTTTCAGGTTCGCGCAGCACTACCGCCTTGATAAAGACGCTGCGGTGGATTACAATGCGTTTTTGAAGAACCTCAGTATAAATAATAACTTACACCTTAAGTACCGCATGGGAAACCAAGGTACGTACTTTTAAAGTTCGGGGCTAAAGATGTCATCATCCTTCGGCACGGTCATGCCCCTCCTGCGGCCCTGTCCCGAGGACGTGGTGTCCACCAGGGAAAGTGCGTCATCCCGAAGGAAGTCCGGGTGTCGCGCCTTGGGAGAACAACGTGACTGTCTCACCGGCGGGCCCGTGAGTCACCGCGCATGCGCGCGCCGCGGTGCGCGGCCCCGAGCCGCGGTTTCCCCCGCAGGTCAGGGTGACAGGGAGCACGTGTGCGCGACCTCAGCCAGTGGCGGGAAAGAAATTCCAAGCCACAGGTTATTTTGAAACGGCACGTCTCCAGGTGTTGTCAGGTTCTTCCCGCTGCCTCCATCTTTTCCAAAGTTTTTGACAATCAGCACGTTATCCTTTCACGATGGGGAAGAATCTTACGACAAAAGGGCAAAAAGTTGAGCGGTTTATACGAAGCTGATGCAGGCTTAAAAGCTGGAGAAGGAGAAGTTTGCCTTTCTTCATCCCAGCCTGGTGGGTCCCCTGAGGACGCGTGTCTGAGGGACGCAGTTGCAGAGTCTCCCTTGCAGCCCTCCGGTCCCTTGAGGCCAGGGGTGTCTTGCCTCCGAGCCCACCGCCCGTGGGCGGCTCATTCCACACCGGTTGTGGCCGAGTGCTCGCAGCTGAGTGCAGCCCCGCACCTGCTCCCTGCGCGCCCGGTTCGCAGACCTGCCTCACCAGCCGGCTTGGAACGACCGATTCTCAGATTGCAGCGTGGTGACCCCCACTGACGGGGGTGCTCCGGGACTCTGCGGTTAAAGCCTCCCGAGGTCGGGGGGTGCTGGGGCGGGTGATCTCCCAGGGGCCCTTCTCCTCCGTGTTTTGTTAGTTCCTGTGCAGGTCCGTGAAGCTAGGCCCTCACTGGGTGCAAAACCTAGGACACCCTCTGTGTTTAAGAACTGTGTGTGTGTTAATGTATGCATATCATATAGGGCGGGTATATGGGGTGTGTGTGTGTGTATACAGGGTCCTGCAGAAGTAGCACCTGCTTAGTGTGGTTGGTAGGATAATTTTATGCATGCAATAATTTATAGTTTTAATTTGAACATTTCACCTAAAACATCATATGCTGTGCTTGTGTGTGATGTGCTACGGAATTCCATGTTTATGATTTTGTAATAAAAAAGGTGCTATTTGTGCCGGACCCTGTATATAACATACATATTAAATAGGGCAGGTGAGATCAAATAAGTCCCATAAAAAAAGAAAAATCAAAAGCAACTATTTATTGTGCTCTGTGTAGACACTTGATAAACCTTAATTTCAGTGTTTATTTCTCTCAGTAGTTTTGTGAAGCGGGTTTTAGGGTCTCATTGTCAGTGGGACGACTCGGACTTGGGGCGCTGAAGGGACGTCCCAATGCCACATAGCCGGTTTGAGGCGGAGTTGAGACGGGACGGCTCAGCTCCCAGATACATGGTTACCATGCCTTCGAGGGAAGAACAGACGTCAGGGGGTGCTCACGGGGCGGTGGGGAGCGGGTGGCCGAGCTGGGAGGCACTTTTGCAGAACCAGGGCTCACAGGATGCGTGCAGCAGACGCCGAGAGGTCGGGTGCCCGAGTCCCAGGCCCTGGGGGGCGGGGCGGGGGCAGGTTTGCCTGCAGCCTGGGCCGTGCGGTTTGCCCAGGTGGGGTGTAAGGCGGGGCCTGGCCTGACCGAGGAGCATTTTCATCCTAAGTAAGTGCATGTGCCAAGTCGATAACCATGACAGTTGACCCCCACTGGACAAGCACCCGTTCCATGCCGGGCTCTCATATCTCTTCACGTTCGCCGCAGCCAGGGGAGGCGGGCATGGGGGCAGAGGAGCAAGGGCACCGTCAGCGTCGGTTCTGGCCTCTCCCCGCGCAAGTCCGTGTAGGGGAGGGACAGGGAGGAAGAAAGGCGTCTGGACAAATGGGTTCATGTACAGGGCGCGGCAGGAGTAAGGCCTGCTTGAGTGTGGTTGGTGGGGTGATAACGTGGGTGGAATGATGGTAGTTTGAACCTGAGCGTGTCACTGAAACCGTCGTGTGGTGTGCTTGAGTGTGATGTTGTTACGTTACAAAATTACTGGCTTAGGATTTTGTCATAAAAAGGGGCATTATTTGTGCCGGACTCTGTATATGCTATTTTGTGTGTTAACTCTTCCTTGAGTGTATTAGAAAAGTAGAAATCAAAAATGAGGAAAATGTTGACTAGGTCTTGGCTGCATGTCAGCTGGGCGGGTCACACTGCCCACCTTGGGCCCTCGTGGACTTCGACCCACTGCCTTTTCTGCCGCCGGGTCCGGCTCTGCAGACTCCTGGGCCCGCCCGCTTGCCTCCGTGGTCGGAGCTGGCTGCCCGCAGGGTCATGAACCCCCCAAATTTCAGCAGTGTGGCTGGGGTGTGTCGTGGTGTTGGTCTTTCTGTATTAATTTCCCAAAACACAGTGTATTTTCAATACACTGCCAAATAGTGCCAATTTAATTATTTTTTTAGGTCAAGGGTTTTTTTTGGGGGGGTAGTAATATTAAGTGTTTTCTAATATCTTCTGTTCCGTTTTTCAGATTTTTATCCTCAGTGACGCACATTATCCTTGTGTTGGACCGTCTCTGTCCTCCGCGTCGATTCAGGTCTCTCGGGGCGCTTTACTCTCTCTTCCCTCCGTGCTCTCCAGGGGCGCCTCGGCCCCTCTGTCTGCACCTGTAATTTGATTTTCACTGAAGTGTATTCTGTTACTTGCTGGGTCTACTTTATTGCTTCTGTAATGGTGTTTCCTTTGGTCTACTATATTATTTTTCATCTCATTTTGTTGTTTTATTATCTTCTTTTATTCTCTTACTGAATTCATGTTCTTATTAAGAAGTTCTCTATGAAGTGATTTTGTACCTCGAGCTGGATTTTTTCCCAAAATGGGATCGTGGCCTTTTTGCGTTGTGCCTCCCTCCCTTCTCTGTCCCCCTGCCTGCCCCTCCACGTTTCTCCTGGAGGGTTTGCAGAATTTCAAGAAGTTGGGGTAAGCGAGCACTTGATTGCATTGTACAGCTTTAATTAGTCACAGTGTACTGGTAAAGAGTATGACACACGGTCACGTGACGTGGCAGTGCTTGCCCAGTTCTTTCCTGCTTTTTGTTTGTATTTCTGTCGCATGTCCTACTGTCACAGACACTATGCGCACCGTACATTGCTGCAACTTCTATTTTTTTATTATATTGTATCGATTATGCTATTCCGCTTGTCCTGACATTTCTCCCTGTGCCCTCTTCCTTCCGGCACCCCCCCCCGCCGCCCTCAGGCAGTGCCCCCGCCACTGTTCCCGTCCATGGAGCGTGTGTATGAGTTCTTTGGCCGCTCCCTGTCCCACGCTGTACTTGACACCCCCAGGGCTGTTCTGTGACTCCGTTTGTACTTCTTACTGCCCTCACCTCTGCCCCCGTTCTCCCCCGCCCTCCCTCCCACCTGGCGACCGTCAGAACACTGTCCGTGTCCTTGATTCGGTCTCTTCTCTTTGTTTGCTCAGTTTGCTTTTCAGATTCAATTGTGGATGGATATGTATTTTTTGCCATTTTATTGTTCATAGTTTTGATCATCTTCTTTTTCTTAAATAAGTCCCTTTAACATTTCATATAGTAATGGTTTGGTGATGATGAACTCCTTTAGTTTTTTCTTGTCTGGGAAGCTCTTTATTTGCCCTTCGATTCTGAATGAAAGCTTTGCTGGGAAGAGTCATCTTGGTTGTAGGTCCCCACTTTTCATGACTTTGAATATTTCTTGCCACTCCCTTCTTGCCTGCAGAGTTTCTTTTGAGAACGCAGCTGACAATCTTACAGGGACTCCCCTGTAGGTAACGAACTGCTTTTCTCTTGCTGCTTTTAAGATTCTCCCTTTATCTTTAACCTCCGGTATTTTTATTATGATGTGTTGGGGTGAGCCTCTTTGCATCCGTCTTGTTTGGGACTCTCTGTGTTTCCTGGACTTGTGTGTCTACTTCCCTCACCAAATTAGGGAGGTTTTCTTTAACTATGTTTTCAAATAGATTTCCATTTTCTTGCTCTCTCTCTTCTTCTGGCACCCCTAGGACGTGGATGTTGGACCTCTTGAAGTTGTCCCAGAAGCTGCTTATACCGTTCTCGTTTTTTTGGATTCTTTTTTCTTCTTCTTGTTCTGATTGGTTGTTTTTTGCTTCCTTGGGTTCCATATCATTGATTTGAATATCAGCGTCATCCACTCTACTCTTGTTTCCCTGTAAATTGTTTTTTTATTTCAATTAGTGAATCCTTCGTTTCTGAGTGGATCTTTTTTATGCTACTAACGTCCTCACTGAGTTCCTTGAACATCCTTATAACCAGTGTTTTGAACTCTGCATCTGACAGATTGCTTATCTCCACTTCATGTAGCTCTTTTTCTGGAGTTTTGATCTGTTCTTTCATTTGGGCCATGTTTCTTTGTCTCCTCGTTTTGGCAGCCTCCCTGTGTTTGTTTCTATGTATTAGGTAGAGCTGCTTTGACTCCGTATCTTGGTAGCGTGGCCTAATGTTGCAGGTGTCCTGTAGGGTCCAGTGGCACAGCCTCCCCCATCACCCAAGCAGGGTATACTCAAGGTGCACCCTTCGTGTGGGCTGAGTTCACCCTCCTCTGGTGGTTGAGCCTTGGCTGCTGTTAGCAGACCGTTGGGAGGGATGTGCCCAGACACAGCCGCACCCAGGCGCCCAGACACAGCCGCACCCAGGCGCCCAGACACCGCCGCAAGGACCGGCTGTAGCCACTCACCATCAGCCTCTGCGCTTCACGGAGGATCAGCTGTGCAGGGGCGGGTGGTGGTGCTCTGACCTGGTCTGCAGCTGTCCACTGCGTGTGCAGGCCCTGGGGTTTCCTCGGCTGCCCCATGTCTTTTACCTTCCTTCAGTGGGCCAAGGTCAGCCCCCGCTTTAGGCACTCTGCCTAAGCTCGAAAGTGATCTGAGGCGGCTGCTACTTGTGCTGGGCTTGGAGATTCCCAGTCAAAGCCAAGCTATGAAGCTAAGCTGGCTGCTGCCACTGCCAGGCCTGGGGCTCGTTGAAGCCAACTGTTGCTTGTTTGATAGGATTTAGGAAGCTGTGAAGCAGGAACCAAAACCAGCCGTTCACATGGCAAAGCAGCTTGAGCGGACCCATAAGTTGGGCGGGGTGGAGTCTCTGGGGATCTCCAAGGCGGGTCACACAGACAGTGTTATCCAGGTTGATGGAGTCTCAGTTAGGGTCCCAGCTTGCTGCCTCTGTGGGGGGAGGGCTTAGAAAAGGGACAGTGGCCTCTGCTCACCTTGATGCCAGACACTTCAGTTGCTCCCTGGCTGCCACTGGCCTTTCATGCTGCTCCCCCGGTGCTGCAGCCCAGAGGGAGTGAGTCTGAGCAGGTGGGTCCGTGCGTGGGTTCTGTAAGAGGAACTGCTTGGGGATCCAGAAGTTTCTTCCACTGACTCATTCCCTGCTGGTTTTTGCAGCCAGAAATTTTAGGGATTTATCTTCCTGGCACTGGAACCCTGGGCTGCGGGGCCTGGGTGGGGCTGGGACCCCTGGCTCCCAAGATATCCCTCCCGAATTTTTATCCATCACATGGGAACAAGGGACCAGCCCGTTCGGTGTCTGTGCCCCTCCTACCCGTCTGGGTGGATGTGGTCTCTTTAAGTCCCTGGTGGTCGGACTTCCGCTCAACCTGACTGCTGACAGTGCCGAGTGATGGTTGTCCTGTGTTGTAGTTGTAATTTTGATGTGGTTGTGCGAGGAGGCACGTGTCTCTCTACCGGATTCCAAATTGTAACCGACCGAACTGGGCCTCATCCACGTGGCGCCTTGGTGTGCGACCAGCACGTAGTGTTGAGGGACACGGGTTTTCTTGGCAGGATTCCAGCCTCGGGCGAGGGGGCCGGGAGCGCTCCTGCTCAGAGCCCTGCTCTCCCGCGAGAGCCAGCCCTTCCCCTGCTCCCCACCGGGCTGTGAGGCACAGCCGCGCCCAGAAGTTCCCCGCGTCCTTGTCTGTTCCTAAGCCAGCTCCGAGAACAGGTCTCCATGCCCTCCGGAGCGTGCACTTGGGGGCTCGGGGTCGCCATCCTCTCGCGGCAGCGCCCTCTCGCAGCAGGGTGCTCCCCCGGCATCCGGGGTGCCCCGTCCTCAGCCTCCGTGTGGTGGTCCGTGCGGTGGTCCGTGCGGTGGTCCAGGAGACTGGTGCTCTGTCCCGCTGGGTCACGGTGGGGTCCAGGGAGGCACACGCCCCGAGGGAGCGGCCCCTCCCCACGTCCTCCGGAGAAGCGGGGCTCTGGGCTCAGCCTTCCTGGGCACCACAGTGCAGCTCGGCTCCGAACACCGCCCCCGAGCCCACGCCTGGTTCGGCAGGTCCCCGCACACCTCCACCTCCGTGAGCTCCTCCTCACACGCTGCCCTCCAGCCCTCGGGCCGCTGCCTCGCTACGGGCGGCACGGCGTCTTCCTCCTTCCTGTCCCAGCCCACCTGGCGGAGTCCCCTTCCCTTTCAGCCCACCTGGACCTTCCTACGTGACCTCCTAGCCAGCCACTCCTAGGATGTGCTGCTTTTGCCAGTTCCCCCACATCTTGTACCTTCTCTCAGCTGCCATCTTTAGTCGGGGCAAGAGCTACCCATGGTGCACAGGACATCCGGGCTGGGCATCCACCTCCCCTGGCTGTGTCTTGAGTCACTATTCTCTCTGAAAGTCACATACACCTTTTGCCTAGGGCGGCAACAGAGCTATCAGTGTGCCATTGTTAATGCATAATATCTTAACCACCACAACTTCCACTTTCCCCTTCCCCCAGTCCAGGTTTGGGGGGGCTTCAGGGGGCCCCTACTCTGCACCCCATTACAAAATGAGCGAGACTCCTTCAGAGGAAGTTTAGGGACTACGGGGAGGTGGCAGGAATGGCGAAGCTTCACTGAAACCTGGGGTAACGGATGAGGCGTGGTGGGGTCCGCAGCCAGCCGACCGTGGCTGCTGCGGCCACTCGGTGCCTGGAGGCGGCTCCCCAGGGCAGGTCTCTCTGGCCTTGACAGCCCCTCACCCCCCTGGGGCCTGGCTCCATGGTTCCGGAGTCCCATGGGTTTCTCTGGATGTGCTGTGTGTGTCCCTGAGAGCTTCCATCCATGTACCAGTGCCGCCAGAGCGGAGGGGGCGTAGGACAGTGTCAGCAAGTGCGTGGCCAGGGCAGAGCGTGGTTCGGGCGTGGCTTCCTCGTCTCTCAGTGAGGCTGAGAGCCCGCGTCCCAGTGCTCCGCCCGACCTGTCCCAGTGCTCCGCCCGCCCCGGCCCCAGCATCCCGGGTCGTGTTCTGAAGGACTGGCTGGCTTTGTGTTTCATCGTGTTGCCAGAGTCCACTGGAGAGGCCTTGCCTCTCCCCACCCCCACCCACTTACTCACTTCCTCCCTCCCTCTCCTCCCTCCCTCTCCTCCCTCCCTCTCCTTCCTCCCTCTCCTTCCTTCCTTCCTTCCTTCCGGAAATGGAATTCCAGATGACTGGCAATTTGCTAACTACAGCTGAGTAGTTACAAGTGTGCTTAATTTGAGTGAAGCTTATTTGCAGACATGTTAGGAAATAAATCTGGGAAACCATTTGTGATTCTTTGCCGTCAGCTTTGAGGAAGGAATGCCTATATTTTAGATTTATTTCATTATCTTTTATCATAAAAATAATACACGCTTGTTGCAAAAAATCCCCCTCCACAAAAAAAAACAGAAAACACATGGACACAAAACAACGGTGTATTCTCCTCCCAGATTTCATTTCTGATGCGTGGGCGGATGGGCGGACCGACGGACGGACGGATGGCTGGGTGGGTAGATGCATCGGCAGATACACAAAATAAGGGTTAAAGTGAGAATTAAATTATGCCAGTCGGTTTTTCCTTTCGATCATGAAACACTCTATATCAAAGAAAAACATCCACATCCATTAATTGAGACAGACACCTTTGTTTTAAACGTCTGGGTAGTAGTTCATAGACCGGACGAGCTGTGGTTTATGAAGCCAACCCTCTCTCTCCCCGTGAGCACTGGAATTGTGTCAGTTCCTTCCCCCTCGTCAGCGGTGCAGAGAGCACCCTCCCGGCCCGAGTCTGCCGGGCGAGCCCCTCAGCCCTGCGCCGTCAAGCCCCAGAAGGGGACTAAGGAGCGTTCATGTCCTGGGTCTTTTCCGCGCAGGCTCCCGCCGCTTGGTCCTTCACCCTTCCCTTCGGTCCCTGCCGACTCGCTAAGGGGGAAAAAATGTTAACTTGTTTTAATTAGACTTTAAAAATTACCAATGACTTTGAGCCGTTTCTCACACATTTGTTGGATTTTTTTTTTAGTCCTTTTTATGTGAATTACCTGTTTATAACCTCGGTCTATTGCTCTGCTGAGTGTATTTATCTCACTGACTTGGAAGAGCTCCTCCTGTATTATGGAAATTTACCTGTATTTCTCGTGGGCATTAACAGCAGTTTTTCCCACTCATTTTTCTTTCATTGTTGTGTGTGTGTGTGTTCAACCAAAAAAAATAAATACACTGTCAGACCTAGTCATTATTTCAGTGATCTCTGGCTCTCAAGCATTGGTTAGAAAGGACTTCTCACTCAACCGTTGTGTATTATGTAGTATTCATCTTCATTTTCTTCTATTATAGTTTCATTGTTCTACTTGGTATATACGTTTTACTCCAAGTTTTATCCAAGAACAAGACAGCAAGGAGATTAATTTTATTTTTCTTCTAACGCGTTCATCTAGGTACTTCAGCAGCATTTATTACATAGTTCATCGTGGTTTTGGTTTATTCGGGTCTCAGTTTCGGCCAGTCAGGTTATGAGGAAAAGGAAACTTTTGACATTTAAATGTACCTTTGTATCGATAGACTGAAGCTCTTCTGTTTTAATAGAGATGTCGTGGGAGAATCAACAAGTCAAAAATTCCAGAAGGGACTACCTCTTCAGCTCTGATTTGTCTGAAAGTAGCTGGGAAGACTACTCCTTAGATGAAATCGGGAGGACCTTCTGCCAAGAGGTAAGAGCCTTTCCCCCGTCCCCGGGTCACCGAGCAGGTGGTCAGGGGGATCATTAGCTGCGGACTGGACCATCATACAGGACGTTGTTTCTGAAATTAACTTTGGGCCTGCCTCGCCCCCTGACTCCACCCCCTGCCCCTGACTCCACCCCCTGCCCTGACTCCACCCCTGCCCATGACTCCTCCCCTACCCCTGGCTCCACCCCCTACCCCTGGCTCCACCCCCTACCCATGACTCCTCCCCTACCCCTGGCTCCACCCCCTGCCCCTGACTCCACCCCCTCACCCACAGTGATGGCAGGGATGTGGCGTTGGTTAAGGGCGTCCTCTGTGCTGCCCACACACTGACGCTTACAAGAAATACTTAAGCCGTATAAAAACGTGACACAACTTTACTGAGAGAATAAAGAAAAACGTAAACAAATAAAGAGGCCTTTTCTAGTTCTTGGGTTGGAAGATTCATTATTAATGCCTGAGCTCCGTACATCGAGATGAGGGAGGTGTGTGCGTGTGTATGTGCATGAACGTACATACATACGTACATACACACACACGTGTATACATACTTTTTTCTTTCTAAAAGTCGTAATAGAGGACTTGTCCTGTCGCATGTAAAATGCTATAAAGGTACCGTAATGAAGACAGCCTGGCACTGGCACGGTCACGGTCTCGGCCACGGAATTGATGAGAGCAGTGGTTGGATAGCCGGCCGATTTCCCGGGCGGGTGTGGCTGGTGGCGGGAGGCCTGGTGGGCTGGGGCGGGGCGGCCGCTGCTGGCTGGGGCGGCTCACCAGCTGGCCCCCTGCGGGGGAGCTGAAGCTCCCGCTCTTCACACCAGAGTACATCCTGTGTGCGGCCACTGTTCACATTTAGAAATAAATAATGTGGGTGAAAAATTTTTAACCTTGACATTTAGATTTTTAAACGTGAAGTACAGCCCAAAAGCCATTAAGAAAAAGATTGATAAATCAGACTACACTGAAATGAAAAAGCTCTCTACAGCAAAACTCTGTATAAACAAAGGATAAACGTGGCGAACTATGTGCCACAGAAACGACAGGTAAATGATAACTGCTCCTAACATACGTAGAACTCTCACAAATCACTAATCTAAAACTTTCAGTAGAAAACCATCAGTGGAAAAATGAAGAACAAAGCCCTGGCTGGCGTAGCTCAGTGGACTGAGCGCGGGCTGCGAACCAAAGTGTCGCAGGTTCGATTCCCAGCCAGGGCACATGCCTGGGTTGCGGGCCACGGCCCCCAGCAACCGCACATTGATGTTTCTCTCTCTCTCTTTCTCCCTCCCTTCCCTCTCTAAAAATAAATAAATAAAATCTTAAAAAAACCAACCTAACATTTATTTAAAAAAAAAATGAAGAACAGCCGACGTTGGTCAGGCGTGGGAGAAGGGGGCGCTTCCGTACACTCGGTCCGTCGGTAGAACTTTTGTTGTTGTTTGCCAGTTTATTGTTTTCATGAAAACTTGAGCGTTACAAAATACACGGCTGTCACAAAAAAACGTGAGCAGTTCTGAAAAGCGTACCGAGGAGAGGAATAAGAAACGATTTAAAACCTACCACCCAGCAATCATCAAAGGCAGCGTTCGGAGAACAGAATTCCAGGCCTGGCTCCGTTCTTGGCCGTGGAAGGTCGGCCGCCGCGGGGGGTGGGCGAGTGGAAGCGCAGGGAGAAGCAACTTTGTGAGGAGAGAGCCATGCTTTTTTTTTTCCCCTTTACCAATAAGGCATGTCGAGCTTCAATGTTTTGGGGGCTGCCTACCCGCCAGGGGTCCCCTGTTCAGTCTTGCCAGCAACTGTCATCGTCCTCGTTCCCAGCCGGGGAAACTGAGGCACAGAGAGGTTCAAGGACTTGCCCCAGGTGACCCCGGAGCCGAGTTTCGAGCCGAGTTTCAACCCTCGCCCTCGCCCACAGCGCCGTCCTCACGTGAACCCGAAGCCACGTCCGGACTTTGGATAAATGCTCCATCGGCTGAGGAGTCGCTGGGTCCCCAAAGGGAGTTGGAGGCGAGAAGAGCGATGGAGAAAGGCGTGAAGAACTGGACAAATTTTGGGGGGCAGGGGGAGGTCGAGGGATGTGTTATTAGTTGCAGATGGCAGGGGCTGCTCTCCGCTGGGCTTCCTGCCGCCCCTCCGGCCCCTCCCAGTTTGTTGCGGTTTGCGCCTCCTTCTCAGACTCCCTTGCGCTTGCACTGCGCCCCCTTACAGGGCTTCCCGGGGCTTTGCCTCCTTTTTATCGGCACCTGGCCTCACCGCCACGCTTACTGTCAGCACTTTCTCCCCTTTCCAGTTCTTCGTTCTGGTTTATTCTCCAGTTGGCTGCTTTCAGGGTCTAGTCATTTCCTTAAGGAAGGCTCATGGGTGCGCTTCCCCTTCGCTTTTCGTTTCGGAGAGCCGCTCCCCTTCGCTGTTTGGCTGGGGCACAGACCCGGGCGGGTCTGGCTCTGCCCTCCAGCTTTCCTTCCTCGCTGCGTTTCCTGTTGTCCTCTGGCCCTGGGCACTCTTGAGAAGAAGCCTGAGGTCCACTCACCTTTTCCTTCCCTTGTAGGTGGTTGTTTCCCTGCCTAGACGCCTGAAGTATCTCTTCCTGATCCTTGAAATTAAAAAGCAGAAGTAAGCTGCGTTGGCGTGGGGCATTCAGTCCAAGTTTCCTGGAGCCCGGTGGGTTCTTTGCTGCACAGACGAGTTCTCTCCTTCCGGGGAAGTTTTCCCTGTTGGTTCGCTGAATCCCCTCCCTCGCTCTGTCCCCTCCCCCTCCCCGTCCTCCCTCTGTCCCCCCTTCAGGGGACTCGGGTCGCCAGCACATCGGTCATCTTTGCCTGTCCTCGGTCGCTGTCATCTTCCTGGAATTGCTTTCACCGCGATGCCCGCTTCCTCCGCCTTCGCTGAGGCCCTTCAGGCCGTTCCTTTACTTTTCATTTTAATTTCAGCCTCGTGGCTGATTCTGGCTGTTCTTAATTTATCATTTCATGTAACGATGTTGCTTTTCTTTTCCATTTTCTTCCCTTTGAAATATCCCTTCTCATCGCTTTTATTGTCTTACCATCTTGTCTTCGAGCTTTTCCTTTAATGATTTTATATATTTATTTAGTTCCTTTTAGTGGCATGAAACCTTTACAGGTGATACATTGTTTCTGTACTATTTCCACACAGACTGACTTCTTTGTCTTTTGCTTGATACTTGTTTCTTGTTTTCTTTCTTTGTAGCGCGTCTGCAGCGTTGGAAACCCACTCACTTTCATCCTGTTCTGCGTGGTTAGGGCAGAGTCACCTTGTTATGGACACGGCTGTGTTCCCAGTGTCCCTGCTGTAGAGTGTTCCACGACCTAAATCTGCACAAACCACACACTCCCCCAGGCATGGCCCCTGGAATTGCCCCCTGCTGGGAGCTCACCCAGACGCGCTGCCTCACGTGGGCGTGTGCACACCTTCCGGTGCGCGCGCGAAAGCTTCCCCAGGAATCACGCCCGTGCGCACGCAGAGAGCATTTCCGGGATGTTCGTGCCCCTCCCGCCGCAGACGGGAGTGCCTGCCGGCCCCCGGGGCTCGCCAGCACTCGGCGCTGTCCGAGCTCCACGTCCGTGCTGCTGCTCTGGGGCAGGCGGGACGCCGCTCAGCCGGGATCTTCGTTTTCACGTGCGTTTTTTTAAACGGATGCCTCAAATAGCTTTTTTGCAACCTTCCTTTGGAACATTTTTGGTTGAACAATTCATTCTCAGCAGCTATTTAATGAGTGCCTACTGCATGCCGAATTGTTCTTCACCCTAGGTGATCAGTGGTGAACCAGACGGGGACAGTCTCTGCTCTCACGGCGACTGCGTGGCCGGACTTCAGGGAGGGGCACAACCGGCAAACACATTCGGAAAACACTCACAGATGCCGTCATAAACACAGCTTGTCTCGAGGGGCGTGACAGCTAAGGACAGGTGTGGCGAGGGGGGACAGCAGGGGGGCCTCACGTAGACCGGGGCTCAGGGGACACGTACACAAACCGAGTGTGTAACCGCGGAGGAGGAGCGAACCTTCCAGGTGTCCGCAGACGGCTCGGCGGCACGCCACCCATCACCGGAGAGTGTGATGGAGGTAGATGCTGGCTCTTACGGGAAAAGACTCACGACGAGTTGTTAAATGAAAAAGCATTTGTCAAACATGAAGGTATAGGATCCCATTAAAAAAAAAAAGATTTTATTTATTTATTTTTAGGGAGAGGGAAATGGAGAGAGAAAGAGAGGGAGAGAAACATCAGTGTGTGGTTGCCTCCTGCATGCCCCCCACTGGGGACCTGGCCCGCAACCCAGGCCTGTGCCCTGACTGGTGGCGCAGCCCGTGACCCTTTGGTTCTCAGACCAGCACTCAGTCCACTGAGCCGCACCAGCCCGGGCTGATCCCGTTTTATACGTGTTACGTTTATATGATTATCACGGGAGCACTGTGTAAAAAAAAGGAGTGGCGAGACTTCCAGGCACCTTCATGTCTTTTTCCTATATTTTACAGAATTGCTTGCATTTTTATCTTTTGTTTCATTGTAAACAGTCACATGAAAATTCTAGAAGGTTGCACTTGTCACAGAAGTACTGTGCTTTACTCCCTGCTCTTTTTCTGCTGCCGCCCGCCAGCCCTTCCTGAAACAAAGGTTGCTGGAGGCCAGATGTCAGTAAGTGGGTCAAAGTGGACTCCCGCATCCAGTGAGCACCCCAGGCCCCACGCACCTCCCCGGGGCCCTTCCCCGGGCACTCCACCCCCCTGAAAGGGAGGTGCCCAAGTTTAGCCACACTTGAGGTTCACTGCACACAACTTTCTGCGAAGCTTAGGCTCTGTGAGTCTCTAAGTGTTTTCCGAGACTTTCTCTACAGATTTCTAGTATTCCTGGACAGGCCAAGGAACTTGTAACGAATCTCCTTATTACTTTTGTGGACAGAGACCCTTGTACATGTAGTCCCAGGTTCCAGCAGCTTAAAAAGTCACCTCTCTACCGAGATGGTGGCTGTTCTGCTCCTCCTCCTCCAGCTGGCAGGAAAACTGAAGTCAGAGTGGAGAGGGTTGGAAACATTGGAGAATATTGTTATTACTTGATAATAAACAGCAGGAAAACCTTTGGAAAGAAAACCAATCTTCATAGTATTTTTATGAGTCATATAAAAATCAGCAGTTAACCTACTTTACGGCATTTCAGAAGTCCCATAAGCCAAGCGCATTCACCCTGGCTCTTTGTAATTCCCCCGTCAACAAAAAGAGAATAATTAAAGAAATGTCCAATGTGTGTCCTGTTCATGCAATCTTTACATTAATAATTTTCCTCACCGCAAAGGCTACTTGTATTTTTAATAAAATGTTGCCAGCTTTCCTGTTCGATCGCCCGGACTTGATCAGGGGGGAGCGGGGGGCGGGCTCTCGGCAGGGGCCGGCTCCGAGGTATATTAAGGAAGATGCATCGAACCAGCAGCCCCGCGGAGCACCCCAGCTCTGGAGTGGGAGGCGGGGCCGTGGCGTGTGCTGCGCCGCTCGCGTGGCTGTGGCTGGCGACGCCGCTGTGCGGAAGCTCATCAATTAAACATTTGAGGCGCAGCGCATGCCACGGCAACCTTTTTGATCAGTTTTCGGAGAGGAAAAAGGGAAGGGATTTCGGAAAAAAAAATAAAATAAAAAAAACACGGTTGAAAAGCTCCGTGAAGTCGATTCCCGGGGAGGCAACGCTCTCATTTTCTCTCGCCGCAGTTTTCAAAGTCCCGGGGAAAGATCGAAAAGGCCCTGAGTGCGGGGGACCCCTCCCAGTGCGGGTACATATCTCTGAATTACCTCAAGATCGTCCTCGACACCTTCGTGCAGCGGCTCCCAAGGAGGGTTTTCATCCAGCTCATGAAAAGGTAAGAGCCCCGACGTCTCCTTGACACGCTCCTCCCCAGACGTCCGCCGCGAGGATCAGGAACAGCTCCGTTTATTTTTTACTAACGTTTTGGACTTTCTGCTGTTGGGGATTTCAAATGCATGCACAAGTAAGGGGAAGCAGGGCAGGGGCCCGCCGCCGGCTCCCGCGGTCAGCTGCAGCCCCGCGTTCTGTGCCCGTCCCAGCCCGGCCCTTCCCCCCACCCCCCCCCCCGAGGGCTCAGGACACGTCCCGGACCCCACGCGTCACTGCAAAGACCTCACTGTGTCTCTCGAAGATAAGAATTCTTCTTAAAAACATGGTGAAAACGCCATTTTTGCACCTCACAGAATTGTGGCGGATGATAATAAGCCTCCGGTCAGGGGTCAGATTTAATTGATTGTCTCATTTTTTCTTTTCTGCTTTGTTTGAGTCAGGATCCAGATAAGGCCCGTTCATTTCCACTGAGTGACTCGCCACAAGTCTTCGTGACCTCCGGGCCCCTCTCCCCCGCCGACTGCTTCCCCCGTGAGGCCTTTGTAGGAGACGTCTGCGTGGTTTGTTACGTGGCGTTCCCGACAGCGGCAGTCCGACCGACTGCACCCACAGTGACGTGGCTGTGTCCTCCTGTCCCACCCCCAGCCCCCCCCATGGATAGATACACAGACCCACGTTACGTCTGGGGGGCGAGAACACTTCCCGGGGGGCAAGCACGGGCGGGCGGGCGGTCTCTCTCTCCACGACCGACGTCAGTGGCTGTGTGGGCAGGGCGAGTGGCGACTCACGGGTGAGCGGTTGTCGAGTGGTGGTGGTCCGCCTGCGCCGTCTCTGCTTCTGTTGGTGGGAAGCCCTCTGCAGTGACACCCCCGTCCCCAGGGATGTGGCGACAGTGAGACACCATTAGCACGAGAAGGCCAGGGTGTCCCTGGTTCTCGCTCTGCACTTACTCATCTTCACAATGGGTTGGTGTCCTGGCACCCTCCGCAAGTGAACGGGGAGCAGTTTTTCCTAGAAAATATTGTCATGACCCTGGCCAGGTGGCTTAGTGGGCTGGGTGGTGTTCTGTACACCACAAGGTTGCAGGTTCAGCTCCAGTGAGGGCATACACACAGGTTGCAGGTTCGATTCCCACCCGGGGTGTGTACGGGCGGGGGCAACTAATTGATGTTTCTCTCTTCCTTACTCTCTCCAAAATCAATAAACGTATCCTCAGGTGAGGATTAATATATATGTATATGTATGTATTATATGATTATGAATTCATGGACGTAAGCTTATTTGTTGCGTCCCAACCCATTAGGGTTGTTCTCATTGCTATGTCATCCATTGCACCTTGGCCAGTGGGAACCTGTTGGCGCTGGCCTGCGTCCTGCTGGCGTGACCCTCAGAGCCCCTGGCGGCTCTCTGGCTTCCTGGAGGACAGGGCTCCGGGTGCCCCGGTGCATCCATCCCTTGCCCCAACCTGGAGCCGGCCGTTTCTCCGAGGACCCCTGTTTCCTTTCCGTTGGGAGAGGTGTGTGCAGCCCTGGCTGGCATGGCTCAGTGGGTTGAGTGCGGGCTGTGAACCAAAGTGTCGCAGGTTCGATTCTCAGTCAGGGTACATGCCTGGGTTGCAGGCCACAGCCCCCAGCAACTGCACATTGATGTTTCTCTCTCTTTCTCCCTCCCTTCCCTCTCTAAAAATAAATAAATTTTTTAAAAAGTTTTTAAAAAAAGAAAAGGTGCGTGCAGCCCTCACTCTGGGTAGGGAGCACTGCCTCTCCTGTGCCTGGTTCTCTGTCCAGGGAGCTCGGGGGACCCCCTCTCAGGGGACGTGCCGACTCCCTGCCGGGCACCGTGGGGCTCCCAGGGATGGGGGGAGAGGGCGGGGCAGTGCTCAGCTGGACCAGCGGGTCCGTCTCCCACCGAGGCCCCCTCCCTCTCAGCACCCCGCGTGTTCAGGGTCACCACGCGCGGCCATGCGGCTTCTGCAGTGGAAGGCAGAGCCTGGCCCTGGGAGTAAACACTTCCGTGGTGCAGCGAACGGCTTTATTGCCCTGCCTGTGTATGGTGAGGCTTTTTAGGGATTACTTTCTGGGATAACTAAAAGTTATACAGACATTTTTAATTTCATTTTCAAAATTATACAAATAATAATTTAACAGCAATAAGAAAAACGAGCAACAAACATCACCATCCACCTCACATAACAAATTTACTGCTTTCATTTTCCCGCATTCTGTTCCGTTTGTATCCACGCAGATATATAATTTTTACGTATTTGTAATCCGAGCATATCTACAGTTTTATGTTGTGCTTGTAAAATAGGAATGCATATTACAGACATCCTTCATCCTGCCTTCGTAGTCTTCCAAACTGTAGGCTCTGCGGATACGTATGGAGTGCGTCTCTCCGCCAGACATCGGGGGAGGTGCCTGGAGTGCAGACAGAAATAACAAACAGCCCCGGGCTGGTGGGGCTTACCCAGCGAGTGGAGGGGGCTCCGAGGACTCGGACCCGGGCTGAAGACACCAGCATCGGGCTGTCTCCATGACCCAGTCCAGCCAGGGGCCCAGGGCCTTCCGAGTCAGCCCTGGACCCCACTTACCCAGACCGCCTGGTGAGACAGGCACCAGAGACCGTAGCAGGTGGGTGCCCAGGTGCTGACGGTGTGAGCTGTGAGTCTGGCGTGGCCCTGGCGCCCGGCTCTGGGAGGAAAGATTCGTCACGTCTTCCCGGTCAGCTAGTCCCCGCATGGTTATCTGTGTACACCCCTCTGACCCCCTTCCCCGCCCTCGCCCGGTGTCAGAGCGCCGTACCAGCCTTTTCTGGTCTGTGTTCGTCTGGGACATCTGTCCCCAGCCTTTCTTTACTTTTGTCCTTTGTTTGTCATATTCTAGGTGTGTCTAGGTGTCATATTCTTGTAAAACAGCAAATGTCTGTGTTTTCAGCACTCCCAAGTGAGCGTCTTTGCCTTTTTAGCGGCGAGGTTTAGTCTGTCTCCATTCACGGTGGTGGCTGTTGGGGACTCTCCTGCCCCTTCATGCTGTGCTCTCTCGCCCGCTCCGCCGTCCCTTTGTGTGTCCTCCTCAGTCAGGCTTAGGTCTGTCTGAGTTCTCCTTATCGCTCTTTTTCTCTCTCTGCCGCCTTGAGGCTTACACATTTTATCTGTTCTTGGACAGCGTACCCTTGAAACTTTAACATGTTCTAAACGTACAAAGCATAAAGTTACTACTCCTGCTGTCGTGAATAAAACAAGCACCTTGAACTTACATGTCACCGTTGCTTAGTGCTTTGATCCTGCCTCTTCCTTAAAAGTCTTCAGTCAAGGATGTTTCTATTGATTTTAGAGAGAGAGGGGGAGGGACATCGATAGGGGAGAGAAACATGCGTCAGTTGCCTCTTGTACACAGCCTGACCAGGGATCGAACCTGCAACCTTTTGGTTTATGGGATGACTCCCAACCCACGGAGCCACCCGGCCAGGGCCTGCCTCTTTTTGATAGGACTGAATTAGTTCCTGCTTTTGTTATGTAATGTAGCCTGTGCTTGTTTGGATCGTCTCAGGTCTGCCAGCTCGTCTGCCGTCACTGCTCCTTACGTCCCCGCCCGTCCTCCGGACCCGCCTCCTGAAGTGCGTGGGCGAGGCCCCGGGAGGGGGGGTGCGGGCGTTGTCTTTGGAGCGTCTGCTTCCCCTCACTCTCTGAGGAGGATTTACCGGGGAGAGAACTCCTGTTGGAGAGCTACTGTCTCCGAGCACCTTGAGGCTGTCGGTGGTGGTGTCCTGGCCTCTGTTCTTGCTGCCGAGAGTGTGCCGTGGCATTGCCGACACCTTAGAAAGGGGGTTGTTTCTTCCATTTTCTGCTCGCCTGTACGGCCTTCTCTTTATTCTGGTTGCAGTGCCCCCTACAGTGCGTCCGGGCACACACGTCCGTTCATCTGCCCGTCCGTCTCGCTCGCGGGGTTCGTGGCTCAGAGTCAGGATTCTCTGACTTGAGAACGTTCTCGGCCCTTGTCCCTGGGTCGCCGTCCCCACCGCACCGCCACCCACGCAGGTCTTCTCCTGGGACTCCCGTCCGAGGTGGGCCGGACCCTCTCCCTCCATTGCCCTGTCTCTTAGACCCTCTCTGGCGTTTCCCTCGTCCTGATCTCTCTGGGCTGCACTCCCACTGTTCCTCTGTAATCCGCTCTAGCTCACCACCTGTCTCTGGCGGGCCAGGGCTACTCCCAGTCACGGCCAACCCTGCGTCTCCCCCCGCCCCCCCACCGTGGGCATGATGGGCCCCGGCCCCTTAGAGCCCACGGGGGATGCGGCCCAGAGCCCTGCGCGGTCCCTCAGACCCTGGGATGCCCTGGCGCCCATGCGATGCGCGTTCCTGCGGCTCTGGAGCTGGTTCCCTCCCGGCCGCTCGCGCCTGCGCACAGCCCCTTCTTGGTGTCCCCGTCAGCTGTGTGTTCAAAGTGATTTTGAGACGTTTACTCCAGTCACGGTAGGCGTATTTGATACGTGTCTGTGTGATCGGACCAGGAGGCTGGGGCAGACCCACTGCGTTGCCGGAGATCTCGCCTCCGTGCCCTCCTGCGGACCGGGCAGTTAGACGGGTCTCCGGAGAGGGAGCGGAACCGGGCGGAACCCCACGGGGAGAGGAGAGCGCACGGGGGTCTCCAGCGTGGGTGGTCGGAGGGAGCACACGGCCCTCTCAGAGGGGCTGGTTCCGCTGGGTCCGACCCACTCTAGGGCTCTTGGACCGAACCCTGGGATGTATCCGTTTTATCATCCTGTGAGGGTTCAGGTTCTTTTTAGTTTTGCACGTGACTGTTCGTTCATTCATTTGTCCAGTCTAGTCGGTCAACAAGTAGTTCTCGAGCACTTGCTGGGCAGCAGGCCTGCGCCAGGCACCAGGGACTCGTGGGAGAGGGAGACAGACACCCGCCTGGCCCTCGAGGGGCCCGGCAAGCAGGTGGTTACTGAGAGCAGGTGTGCGGGGCGGGGACTGTCATGGACAGTAGTGACAGGGGAGAGCTCAGGCTCTTCCAGAGTGGCCTGGTGAGGCCTCTCGGGAAAACTCGAGATTTACACCAAGGCCTGAGAGGTCGGGCGAGCAGCCGCGGAAGGACCTCCTGGGCGGGGCCTGGCCTAGGCGTTGCCCGCACGGTGGGTGTGTTCCGGGCCTGGCAGAAGCTGGTGCGTGCGCCTGCCGCCGGGGTGAGGAGGAGAGGCCAGCCCGGCCGGGGCCCGCGGGTGCAGTCAGCGCTGGGTGCTGGGTGCCGTGGGCGGCGGGCAGACGGCTCTTCGCCTCCTTTCCTCGGTGCGTCTTCCTGGAGCCGGACTCAAGGCCCGAGTGTGAAGGCTTTTGCGAACTTCTATGAGGACTGCAAAACTGTTCTCTCGAAAAGCGTGGTGTATAGTGCCACTGACACTGTGTGACTGCTCTAGTTCCATTTCCTTTCCAGCGTGAATGTCAGCATTGTTTCAGAGTATTGATAACCGAAGGGGTCGAAATGGCGCCTGTGCATTGGCTGAACGTGTGATTTTGGAAGGGACACCGAGGTTGGCCGGGTCCCGGCTGTGTCTCCCCGACGGGAGTCTCCTTGCGCCCCAGTCACCTGCCGGCTCCCCTGGCGGTTTCCGAGTCGGTCTCACCACTTCTTCGATTAGCCCGTGGGCGTCCAAGCCGTTTTCACGGGGGCCGCATCAGCCTCCCAGTGGCCGTCTGCAACAGGCCGCGTGTAATTTCAGCTCCTTAACTGTTGGGAAGTCGCTACGTGTATGCAGTCCTAAAGTTATCTCGGCCCTTCGAAGGCGACCGCGAGGCTGATGTGGCCCCCGCTGAAAACGGGTTGGACGCCCCCGGTGCAGCCGTTGTCCGGTGAGTCCGTAGTGGCACGCAGGCCCCTCCCCCACAGGCGACACCAGCTCCCTCCCCGCCACACGGCAGCTCTGCGTTTGAAGTTACATTTTAATGTAATCAAACACATTAATCTTCTTTTTTGGGATGTCTTCTGTGGCTTAAAAATCTATAAATTCATCATCCTTACCCAGGCTTGAAAGAGACTTTTTCTACTCTATTCCTTATTTTTTTATTTTTTGAAAACAGAACAAATCACTTCATAATCCATTCTGACAGAAGGCGGGTATCCAAATTAAATTTTTTTCCAAGTAGGTAATCTGCTCGATCATCACCACGTATGAGAGAACCCTTCCTTCCCCGGTTGTTTCCGGTGTCTCCTCCGTCAACTTTAAACTCTTACCCAGGCCCTGGTTGACGATGCGCCCCCGCCCCGCCCCCCCCCCCCCCGCCCTCGCCCTCGGGTGCTCCGCTGCGTGCGGATGGACGGACCATCGGACCGGTCTCTGCGGTGCTCTGTGCACAGAGACACAGCCCGCGGCCCTCTGACCCCCCGTCACGCCTCTGGAGAGCACACGGGCTCCCCACACTGCCACAGCCGGGGTGGCACCCGTGTCCTGAGTGGAGACGTCATTGTTAAGGGCCCCCACCAAGTACATGCCCTCCTAAGGGGGCATCTGCTGGAGTCTGCCACGAGGCCGTCGGCCTGGGAGGTGTGAGCTCGAGCTGGGGCTAGTGTCAGCACCCGGCGGCATGGGGCGGCCCCGGCCCCGCTGTCCCCCTTGTCTTTGCTCCCCTCTCATGCCCCGCAGAACGGCGGAACCGCAGGAACGGAGGAGAGATCCACGGTTCCCAGGACTACGGGCCGGGGGGCGTGACTCCAGAGGGGCACACGGGCAGGTGCGGGCCGGCGGAGCTCCGCTGTGTCCGGAGTGTGGGCGTTGCCCGAGTCTGCGGGCGCGCCCTGGCCGGGCTGTGGGCTGGGTTCCAGCCACCGCCACGCGATGGGTGCCGCAGGAAAGCCGGTCCTTTGCCAGTTGTAAAGGCACGGTATCTGTGGGGCGCAATAACATGGGGCGTCCCTGTGTGTGTGTTAAAACTTGCAAAACTGTACACTGAAAGAACACGTCCATTTTACTGCATTTTAAATTAAGAAATAAAACTTAAAAACACATGCTGTTTTAAGGCAAAAAATACAGGAAATAATAAAGAGGGAAGTAAAAATCTAATCTCTCATGCCTAGCAAAATGATTTGAGAAATTAGTCTTACTATGCAATTTAAGAATGGATATTACAGGAAAAAAAAATTGGCATCGTTTAAGTTTGTTATTCTTTTAAATACTCAAGGTCTAGGGCCTAAACGTAAAACACTAACAGCTTGGTAATGAGGCATAAAACCTTAATCCAAATAATATTTTAGCGGCTTTAAAAGCTATTTCCCATCTATACTTTTTAATGTAACAGTAGGCTTTAATTGAACAGCTGACGTGACCTTTATTGCCAACATGCTGTGCTTTTCTGCCGCCGAGCCTTCCGTACAAAGCAGACCCGTTGCGAATAACGCCAGTCTCTGAACAGGGGGAGCGAGGCTTGGGGGGGGGCGAGGGCTGAGAGGAGGGAGCGAGTGCCAGCTGGACTCCCACCTTCACCGGGGACAGCGCCTCACCCACCCACGGTGGGGGCGGGCCTTCATGCAGACACGCCTCCTGTTGAGAAGTTCCCACCCACGCTGGTACCTGGAGAGAAAATACAAGCCTTTTAGCCCAGATTCTAGGAAGTGTAATAGCCACACCCCGGGGTGCCTTTCCAGTGATTGCCCAAGCCTCTTACACTTGGAGTCTAAGATCTCTTCTATTTCTAGGCAGTTCTGGAGAAGGCAAAACCACAGGAATGGAGGCCCGGTCAGCAGTTGCTGGGAGTGGGGTGGGGGGCTGTGTGACTCCAGGGGGGCACGAGGGCGGGGCTGGGCCAGGGAGCTGTGAGTCAGCTCCCTTAATCCCGGGATTAAGGGAAATCAGTGGGGGGCGGGGGGGGGTGCTGTGGTCTCTCCGTGGCCTGAAGGGGCACGGGAAGGCACAGTTACTGAACAACTGTGGCTGAAGGAGAGGGTTGCCCAAGAGACGGTGAAGTCTGCAGGAGGATAATGTGGCCCGGCCATCTGCAGCCCAGCAGGGAGGGGCCGGGGAATGACCCGCCCGCCCCTTCCCCTTCCAGTCTCCTGCAGGCGCCCCCCACTGGCCAACCCAAGAAAAAGCCGAGGCGCCAGAGGCCAGCTGAGGCCACTCACGGGGCCCCATGCAGAGCAGATGAGGGTGGACGCTGATCTAGGTGGACAAGGGAAGACTGCCCGGTGGGAGTGGGACCTCCGTCTGAGCCTCAGCAGCCACCAGGGATGAAGCAGATGGCTACGCCTCCCTTTCCCCACTTTGCAGTCAGCTTCCCTCCTCCTCGTGGTGCCAACCCCGTTCCGACTCCTCCAGGAACCGGAGCGCCCAGAGGAAGGAGAGGAGGAGGGGGTGGGGCGGGGAAGTTCGGCCTTGACCGGCGCGCTCTGAGCTGGAAACTGCGCCTCTGGCCTGCGGAGGGTCGGAAGGCATCTCCTTTCCGGAGAGCCTCGGCCGGGTTTTCGGGTTTCATGCTGGGACGCACCCCTCGTTCTTTGATGAGGGCGGGTGCATGTCCGTCGAGGCTCATCGCTGGCTCCCTCCTGGCTCCGGGCGAGTGGGCAGTGAAGAAGGGCAGCCTCTGGCGCGGCCTGCTGGCTCCTCCAGGTGGCCAGCCGTCTTGGGCAGGAGCCGAGGTGACCCGGGTGTGGCCGTGCACGCGCGCACACACACACACACGCACACACACACGCACACACACGCGCGCACACCCGCTGTCTCCCCCGTGGCCCCCGACTGATCCAGACGAAATCAGTCCTCAGCCGCGAGATTTCGGCAACAAAAACGGGGCCGTTTGTCTCGTGGCCGCCTGGGCGTCTTGTATCTGTTGTCCAGGGAGCGCGGCACAGACTCCTCCTGCCACCCTGTTGCGGAAGCGTGGGGCACGCTCAGTGTGGTAGCGACCCAGGATGGTGGGGACCCAGTACCATGGGGTGGGCGTTCGGACCTGTTCGCTGTCACCCAGGAGTGTCGGACCTTTTGGTGACGCTGGGCCACACATTAAATACACAGACACTAATGAACACTGATGAGCAAAAACAAGGTTTTAAGTAAACTGACGGTTTTGTGCTGAGCCGCAGTCATAGCCTGCACGCGTAGGCTGCACACGGCCCCCTGCACCGTCCCGGCGGAGGGCTGGATGGGGCCCACCTGGGCAGCCAGGGCTGCTTCCCCTCCCACCCCGGGTCTGTGTCCTTGATCACACCTGCAGAGCGCTTCTGGCCACGGAAGCCCCATCTCCACAGCCCCAGGGGTGAGGGTGTGGACGCCGCGTGGGCTTTACTCTGCCTGCACGGTGAGTGAGTGTGCTCCCCCCACGGTGAGCGTGCCCCTCCCACGGTGAGTGTGCCCCTCCCACGGTGAAGTTGAAGAATTGCTTCAGGGACGGCAGCATTTTAATCAAATGCCTCTGTTCCCTCCGTCAGTGTGGGCGCCAGCTAACGGGAGATGGGGACGTGGGGATGTATAGTCAGTTTGATTCTCTCTTGCTTTTTAAAAATCAATTTGTAGTATGATGGTACTAAATTGTTTTGTTTACCTTAGATTTGAAAATTTCTAAAAACTCATTGCTGCCGTTTAAAACTCCATATTGAACAACTAATCCATGCAGCGCTGTAAGAAATAATGTTTGAACATTTTTTTTTAAATCCAGATTTGGGCTCAGAACCACCAAGAAAATCAATTGGAAGCAATTCCTAGCGTCACTGCACGATCCCCCGTGGACGGACACGAGCCCGGCAGCCCCCCCGGCGAGAAGAGCGAGGTGCGAGGAGACGGAGCCCCGGGCCCGCGTCGCGCCGACCGCAACGCGTACCGGGGAGGAGAGCGCCTGGGTTGCTTTTCCTTCCCTGATCGGATGACGAATGGGTCTGCATGGAATGATTACGGACTCCCACACAGCGATTTGCAGTTTATAAATTACTTTCTGTACGTTCTTATTTAGAATTGCCTTAAAGCTCTAAGGCAGGTATGATGATCATTCCAGTTTCTAGATGAGAAGAATGAGACCGCGAGGGGTCTTAGCGAGGCGGAGCGCGGCGGAGGCGGAGCCGGCGCCCCGAGCTGGCACGCGGGCCTCACACAGCCGTCACGCCAGCACTGACGCGGGGCCGCACGCGTGCCCTGGTAGAGCTGGGTGTGAGCGCGTGTGTGCGAGGTGTTACGTGGCAAGGAGCGATACACGTTAGCTGATTTTCCAGCCACTCCGCGTGGTGCGGACGTTGTGGGCCGTGGGATTATTGGCTTGAGTGCCACTTTTTTTTCTGTGTGTTCTGATTTCTGTTATAATCTTATTGATTGATTGATTTTAGAGAGAGAAAGACAGAGAGAAACATTGATTTGTTGTTTTCACTTACTGATGCACTCGTGCGCTGATTCCGGTGTGTGCCCTGACCGGGGATCGAACTGCAAGCTCGGCCTACCTGGACGACCGGCCAGGGCCGATTACAGCTGTAGATTAGCATGATCGTATAAATTGCGGTGGGGCCCAAACTCTGAAAGCACCTAACAATATGACACTTCGGAATTTAGCCTCTTGCCCTAAGACGTGTTTTGCCTGTGCGATGTGCAGCCGGCACCGGTTGCCCGTATAAATCTTAGAGAGAAGGCGGGCTTACAACCTCCGCACGTTCACGGGCAGCCCTGCGCTCCCTTGGAAAGTAAAACGCGCCACGGAGCGAGTTCCCTTCCACCGGGTCCGCGCTGTGTCTCGGGGATTTACGCATGTCGGCGGCCTGCCTGGTCACCCGCCTCCCCGTGTTCGCGGGGTGCACCTCTGTGAGTTCATGCCTTAAATGACGTTACTCCTGTTTCTTCGTAGTTTTCTTCGTAATTTGCTGGCAGCGCCGTGTCTCCCGGACGGCAGACCCCACGAATGGAAATGTGAATTTTGTTTACTTGAAAACAGTGGTTTCCAACCGGGGGCCAGTCTGTGCTGCCCGGGAGATGTCCAGCAACGTCACGAGACATTTCTGCTTGTCCCAGCTGGGGGGGGAGGTGCCCCCGGTATTGAGTGGGTATGGCCAGGGAGGCTGCTCCTTATGGCACCGTGTCCTGGATGGCACCCCCGCCACGCACATGCACACGCACACAGGACATGCACACACGTGCCCACACGGACACTCTTCACGCACAGGAGCACTCCCCTCAGCGATTCCGCTGCTTTAGGTTTCTGAAAAGCGGAGGTAAGGGTGTGTGTGTGTGTGTGTGTGTGTGTGTGTCTTTGCACACCGGGAAACAGCAGGTGGCCGTGGAGGGGGGGCCCTGAAGCCCCCCGACGCACCCGCGCACTGCAGAGCAGGGGAGCTGCTCGCGCTCGTTCTTCGGCTCGTGGGGCGCGTCGGCCGTGGGAGTGGTGCTGAGCAGGGCAGCGCTTCCCCACGAGACACTGCAGCCCCTTCTGGTGCGAGTGCACAGCGCGCTGGCCTTGGCCTCCGGCGTGGGCAGTCCTAGGCCCTCATGGGTGCGCAGCGGGCACTGGGCCTGGCGCGGGGTTGTGAGGGTTCCGTGGCCTCCGTGCTCACGTGGGCAGTGCAGTGTGCTGCCCGGAGCGGGGTGGCGGCCTCGGCTGGCATCGCAGTGTCCTTCCCGGTCCTTTTGGAGACCAAACCCACGCTGACACGATGGCCGGTCGCAGCTCCCTGCCGGGCCACCCTGACCGAGGGGCGAGAGGGCCGGCACGCGCACGGGGCGCCGTCAGGACAGCGCCCTCCGCCGGGAAGCCGTCCCTGGGGTGGCTGTGGGGTGATTGTTTTTTTCCATTGAGAGAGAACTGTCCGGGAACATAATCTTCTGGTTTTCTTTCCCTTGACCATCTTGCAGCGCCGACTCCAGAAGTCAGCTTCGCAAGGAGAGCGTCATCAGGAAGTTGTTTGGACACGGAGACCACCACACGTCGCTGAAGAAAGCGTTGCTGGTCATCAACAGCGTAAGGCCTTGGAGCCCTTCGAGGGCGGGAGTGTCGTCCCCGAGGAGGCTAGCGTGTCTGTCGGTCAGCGTGAGGGCAGCGGGAAGCCTGTGCGTGTGCCCACGGCTCCGCCTAGCAGGCGGTTTCTTTGGGCTCCTGCTGCATGCCGGGAGCTGTTCTGGGTGCTCAGGCGCCCGGGCGGGGGGGGGGGGCCCTCCAGAGCTGGGCCAGCTGGGAGGCCGGTGAAGGGAAGGTGTGGCCGTGCAGTGAGCCAGGTGGTGTCGGGTGGGGGATGGGGGGTGGGGTGGGGGCAGTGCACGGCCAGGTCGCTGCAGCCGGAGTGACTTGTCATCATTGGCTGTTGAACTAAAGAATCATCCGGACCCGTTGAACCTTCCCCCTCAACCCGGAGTTCAGGTTCATAACCGCCTTGCAGCCCATCGCAGCGGGAACACCGTCTCGGCTCCGGGACAGCCTGCGCGGTCGTTTGATTGCACCGCGGAGGGTGGCCGCTGCATGAGCGTGCGGCTTGCTTTGAGCCATTAGCTCCTGTCCCACTTTCGTGTTTATTTTAGCAGAGCAGCACTGATGCGTTTCTGATACGTAGGTGACATTTCTCAAGTTCATTATTTACTGAGCACATTCGGTAACGGAATCTCTAATAAATAACCCGCACCGCGGTGAACTGTTTTCCCTGAGACGCAAATAGGTACGAAGGAGGAGTCACTTGGCCTCCAAGTTGTGCCTCCAGAGCCCGCTGCTGAAGCGGGGCAGCTGCTCGGAGGGGCGGCGCTCGGGGGAGGAGCCCCCCCACCCTTGGGGCCTGGAGGGACTTCGGGTGGCGCTCTGACCTGGGGATGGCAGCCCCTCACCTCAGCAGTCTAACACGCCATCGCTTGGGGTCTCCCAGCAGCATGTGGACTCAGAGATTCGGGGTTCCGTTTTCCGGGGGGGACGTCTCAGCTAGCACCCCTGTTGTCGTGAACCTTCAGGCCCGCTGTGACTTGGCCTCTCTGAGTGAACACCGGGTGCCAGGCCCTGTGTGAAGGGAAGAACTGGCTGTCACGGCGCGTCTGTGAGTGGACGCTGTTACCATCTTCACAGGATGCTTCTGGGTCATCCTCCTGTGCTGGGGAGGGGGAGCAGGTGGGTGAGCCGCCCGGCCTGAGGCTCCCAGCCGGTGAGTGGCGGCGCCGGGATTCACACGGGCCGCCCCAGCGCGGGCACCGGCAGCCCTGCTCCGAGCTGTCCGTCCGCGGTCTGCTAGCGGGGCTGCCCTCAAAGATGAATAAGCCTTTGGGTGCTTACCCACCTCGGCTTCTATTAGTAAATTGAAGAAATAATGTAATTAAAAATAGGAAATCTGCCTCTCTGGTCACGGGGGGGCTGCAGTAATGCTGATGCTGCAAATACGAGACCGTTGAGCAGTCCTTGCCGGCCGTGCAGCTAGAGGGCAGCGGAGGCGTCGCAGAGGCGAGGACGCCGGGCCCGCCCCACCCCACGCGGGGCCCCCTGGGCACCGAGGCTGAGCTCATGGGTGGGCGATGCTGACCGAGCTCCTGCCGACGTGAGCTCGCACGCTGAGTGCCACGGAAGAGCAGCAGCCATCGAATGCCTTAGAGGTGCAGGGTCCACGGCTTCCGAGCAGGATGCCCCGCCCACCCCCATGCCCCGTTTGCTGGGTCGTGGCCGCGCCCCGGCCCCTGGAAGGAGGAGGAGCAGAGGGGGGGACAAGGAGTGGGCGCCTGGCCCAGCTGCAGAGGACAGCCATGAGAAGCAGGTCCCTCTCCTGCTGCAGAAGCGTTGGAAGACTGCTTACACCTCCGAGTCCCGCGTCCCAGGCAGCTGTGGCTGCTGCCTGCATGGAGGTGCTGCTGCCGTCCCTCCCAGCGGACCCAGTCACTCACGCCAGAGTCAGGTGTGGCCCCTTGTCTGCCACCCAGACACCATCCGTACCCTGGCTGTCCACCCACTCTTATTTTCAGTTCACGTGATGTTATAAGCAGAAAGTCTAGAAGAATCTCCAAAAATATAAGAATTAATATCAGGATTTAGAAGGGCATCGGCTACCTACAATGTACAAGGCCAACACACAGAGATCAACAGTATTTCTATGTACTGCGAGAGGCAATTAGAAAAGGAATTTTTAAAACATCATTTCTAATAATATTTTAAAAAATCAAATACTATGAAATATATCCGACAAAAACTGGCAAATTCCCTATGTCGGAGACTACAAAGACTGGTGGTAGAAATCACACGAATCCTTGAGAATTTAGAGGAGGAAGGAGCACTCCCGTTTTGTTCTCTGAGGCCAGCGTTTCCCTGGCGCCAAAGCCGGCAGAGGCATCGCGAGCAGAGGAAACCGCAGCGCGGCGCCCTGCACGAGTCGGCAGGCCCAGTCCCCAGCCACACGGACAGGACGCGGTGCATGACCCCGGGGGGTTTATCCCGGGACTGCGAGGTCGCTTTAACTTCCAAGAAAATCAGTTAATGTAATGCACAATAAATAGAAATCAAGACAGGGTTGCATGATCATCTCAACAGATGAAGAAAAAGTACTTGAAAAACCCAACACTCATTCATGATAACAACTTTCAAAAAAACTGGAAATAATTGGGAACTTCCCAAACCCGCCCGAGGTGTTTGCGAGAAACTCGGAGTTACCAGTACAAGACGGGGAGCTTTCCCTGAAGGCCGGCAAAGCACGGATGTCAGCTCCTGCTGCTTCTAGTCGACCTTGTGCTGAGGCTTCAGACAGGCCGTCAGAAAGGAAGAGAAATAAAAGGCATTCGGAGGGGAAAGGAAGAGGTAAAACTGTCTGTATTCACACACCATGTATTTCTGTAATAGAGAATTCTAAGGAATGCGCATGTACACACATGCACACACACACACGCACACACGTGAACTGCTAGAACTAATAAATGACTCAAGGTTGCAGGATCTAAGATCAATATACAAAAATCAGTTATATTTCTGTAAACTGGCAATATACAATCAGAAAATGAATGTCAGAAAGCAATTTCTTTCACAATTGCATCAGAAAAGAATAAAATACCTAGGGGCAAATTCAACAGAGGAAATACCAGACTGGTACACTGAAATTTACACAACATGCCCTGGCTGGTGTGGCACGGTTGGGCATCGTCCTGTGAACCTCTAGGTCATAGGTTCGATTCCCAGTCAGGGCACACACCTGGGCTGTGGGTTTTGTCCCAGCCTGGGCACATCTGAAAAGCATCCAATTAGTGTTTCTCTCTCATATCGATGTTCCCCTCCTTCTCTCTCTCTCTCTCTCACTTCCCTTCTCTCTAAAAAAAATATACAAAACATTATTAAAAGAAAAAAATAGATGTAAATAAATGAAGAGACAGTCCTTATATGTGGCTCGGAAAACTCATTATTAAAATTGCAATTCTCTCCAAATTGATCTATAAATTCAGTGCAAACCACATCAAAATCCCAGCTGACTTTTTTTTTTGGCAGAAACTGAAAAACGTCTTAAAAATTCATGCAGAAATACAAAGTTTGCAGAATAGCCAAAACGGTCTTGGAAAAGAATGAAGTTAGAGTGCTCAACTCCCAGGCTTGGCGTGTTAGCCTAAAGCCACAGCAGTGGGGAGAGAGAGGTGCCGGCTGAGGGCTGGACGCCGTGGCCCCTGGGGGAGGGCCGAGAACAGAGGAGCCAGCCCTTCCTCTGTGGTCCGCTCAGGTTTGACAGGTTTGCTGGGGGAAAGAATAATCTTCTCAACAAATGGTGTGGAGACAGATATCCGTGTGCAAAAAGACAAATTACCTTACATTATACACAAAAGTTAATTTAAAAGGGACCCTAGACCTAAACATGGGAGTTAAAACAATAAAACTCTTAGAAGACATGCATTATCTGTGTGACTTTGTGTCAGGCAAAGATTGCTTAGATAGGACACCAAAAGCATGATCTGTTAAAGGAAAAAAACTCAATAAATTAGATGTATCAAATTAAAAAACTTATGTGCTCCAGAGGATATCATTAAGAAAGTGACAAGACAGGCCACAGACTAGGGGCCACTCTGTGTCGGTTACACATCTGGCGAGGGACCCGTGTGTGGCATGTGTAAGAGCTGTCAGAACTTACTAAGACAGCCCTGTTGGAAAAGTGGACGAAAGGTTTTCACGGACGGGTCACGGAAGAAGACACAGGCATGGCCAGTAAGCACGTGATCAACATCATTAGACGTCGGGGAAGTGCGCACCACGCCGCAGTGTGAGACGCCGCCGCACAGTGGACGGTGCGTGGCTGTGCCCCACCCACTCGGACAGTAACAAGTGTTGGCGCGGACCGCGGACCAGACTCTCAGACGCGGCTGCGGGGAGGGTAAAGGGAGCCGCTACTGCGGAAAACAGCGCGGTCGTTTCTTTAAAGTCTAAACGGCAGTTTGCCATACGAGCCAGCGACGCCGCCCCCAGGCGTCTGCCCGAGAGCCGTGAAAGCCTGTGCTCACACGGACACCTGCGGGCACACGTCCACAGCAGCGTTGTTCACAGTTCCCAGACTGGGAACAGCCCCAGCGCTCACCCGCTTGGGACAGAGCAAACAAACAAAGAGTGGCATTTCCATACGATGGAATCGCAGCCGGGATAAAAAAGAACAAAATGCGGATCCAGGCAGCGCCATGGATGAACCTCAGAAACGTTACGCGAAATGATAGAAGCCAGGTGCAACATGCGCACAGATGCACATACTGTAGGATTTTATTTACACGGGCTGTCCGGGAAAAAGCCAGTGCAGAGAGACAGAAGGAAGATGATTGGCTGCCTTGGGCCGGGGACGGAAGTGGGGAGCCGCTGCGTACTGGCACGGAGTTTCTTCTGGGGCGACCGTGTTTTGAAATTAGTGGTGAGGACGGCTGTGCACTGCTGTAAATTTACCGAAAATCACAAAAAATTAATTGCCGACGATTCCTGTTTAGACACTAAAAAATTGTCACTTTCAAAGCCAAAAATAAGCCTATCCAACCCCCTCTAGATTACTTAGTTTTCCCAGGAGAACCTTCTGTCCTTTTCAGATTTTGGGCCCCAGAGTAGGAGCTTGTCTCATTAATATTCATGAGAGCTCTCTCTGTGAGGCCCGGGTTCTTTATTTCCCCCGTGTTTCTAGTCACCAGTATCTCTCAGTTCTGTTAGTTAATTTACTTACTGGTGATGTTTGTTTGGTTTAGTTTAAATTCTGGGGAAGAAGCTTGCCTGTCCATATTTTGCTCATACTACATTTCTTTGAGGCAGCCGGGCTGAAATTTCTCTTGCTAAGTAATTGTCCATTTATGTAATTAGCTGAGGTTGGTGATAGTGAAAAACAAGCATCATTAATATTCTCAGTAAATCGGCAAGTTGTCATTGAATTGCCGGGAAGTCCCGTGTCCCCCGTGGCCGAGCCACGTGGCCCTCACTCAGGTGGGGCCGGGGCAGGAGGGGCTATTCAAGCCTTCCGTGGCAGCCAGCAGGGAGCCTGTCCCGGCAGGCGGTCAGCCTTTGCAGCGAAAGGGGCTTCTTTCCTGCCTCGGGGCCGTGCCCCGCCACATCCTCGCAGAGAACATCCTGGGAGCTGCGCCCACAAAGCTCTGGTGGCCCCCACCTTCCGTGGCTCCTGGCACACGGGTCCCGTAACCACGGTTGATCTTGTTTCCTAGCATAATTCTAGTTAGCCAAAGCTGGCAGTTTATTAAACAATGTGTAATGCTTTTCCTTGTTTTTTTTTTTTTTTAAAAAAATTCCCTCAAACACACTCTCCCGCTCAGAAAGCAGACGGACAGATGAAGGGGGAGGAGCTGCGACACATCATAAACTGCATGGTCGGGAAGCTGAGCGACTCCGACTTCGGGGAGCTGATGCAGGCGCTGGACCCCCGGGGCACGGGGCTGGTGGACGTCCGCGCGCTCACCCAGCTGCTGGAGGAGATCCCGCGCGTGAGTGTCCCAGCGACTCCGTGTCTGCGTCTCTCCGCGGGCCGGGGACTCTCCTAAGTCGAGTAAGAGACGCGGGCGATCACGGTTCGGAGAAACGCGTGACTTCGCTTTGAGCGTCTCAGCCGACTCAACTTCTGACGAAGGGCTGATTGTTTAAGAGTGCTTTGAGTTGGACGTTTGGCTTCTCCACCGCACTGGGGGCCGCTGGGCGTTTCTGGGGACCTGTCCCCGGCTGAGAGCGCCTTTGCCTGCAGCGGGACTGAGCTGGCTTTCGGGGAAACTCTCGCAGCCGCGTCTCATGGCCCCACCGGCCGGCGTGAGCGGCTCCTCTGGTTTCCGTCCGCAGTTTTAGAGTTTTCACCTTAGTTCCCCTTTGACCTCACGACTGCTTGTTGCCTCTAGTGACTAACACTGGCTTTTAGTTTTTGTGTCTTTTGACTGAAAAATGGACGCAGTTTATTATTAGAAATGCTTCCGTAATGGTAACAGCTATTAGCATGTTCAGATGTGAACAGGCTTTAACACGGCCGGTCAGTTTCCCCTCCACGCCTGCTCCCTGGCGCCCCGGAGGCGGTCCCCGCCTGCCTGCCCCGCCCCTCGCCGCGTCTGCAGATCGTCCCGTGTCTAACACTGTTATTCCTCGTGGACACTGCACTTGGCTTCCTCTTTCCTTTTTCCCACGCCGGTAGGCGAAGAAAGCGCTGCCTCATTCTGTCACATCGCATTTACCTCACCTCTAGGTGGTGGGTTTTTTTCGTGTCTATTGTACTTCGAAAAAATAAGTGCAAGCTCAGTGTTCTTGTTTCCATTTCCAGATGGGGGGATCAGAGGGCACACTCGCTTGCCCACGGTCTCAAAGCCGTGGGCTGACCAGGGGCAGAGCCGACAGCCACGTGGGAAGACCCCAGGGCTCCTGCTGCCTGTAGGAGCCACTGGGGTCTCCGCGCTTTCTCTTCCCTGACCAGACAGGAAAGCCGTCCTCCTGTGCGGACACCAGGACGCTTCTTCACCCGCCGGCTCGGGACTCGGTGAGTGGCGCCGCCCCCGGGGGCCCCAGGGTGCCCCCACCCCAGGCCACACGCCTGCAGCTTGCAAACGTGCTTGTCCCTCGTCAGGAGGAAGCCATGGTGTGCGACGCCGTCGGCAGGAACCCCCAGGCTTTCCACAGCATGCTGCGGTCCTACGACCTCAGCGACACGGGGCTCATGGGCGCCAGCAGCTTCAAGAAAGTCATGCACATATTCTGTCCGTGCCTAACGACGGAGCGTTTAACGAAGTAAGGTTTTCGGTAACGAGGCCAGTGCGCATCCCGTTTCCATCACGCCCCCCCTTGATAATTCCGCCCCGCGTATGGGTTCCGTCTGGGGACTCCGGCTTCGCCAAGGCGGCAGCGGTGAGCGTGTGCAACCTGTGTGATGAGAAAATAGTGACGGACACAATGTTAACAAAGAAACAGCTCCTGTTCTGTTGGTGGTTTCTTAGGGTTTTCTAAAATAAGTGTGTATGCCGCACTTCCGGTGTAAGTCCCTCCATAATTCCATAGCAAAACTTCTGATTTAGACTTTTTTTTTCTTTGTTTACATCTGTTATATCTCTGTCGCAGTACTCTTTACAAACCGTAAGCTGCACATGTCTTCATGGTGCAGTCTGAAGAAGCCCACTGAGCGCGTGTGTCCACGAAGCCACCTCCGGCCGTCCATCGGCCGAGCGGACACTTCCGTCCCTCCCCAGAGCTGCCCCGCGCCCCTCGCAAGTCATCTGCCCCACCCCAGCCCCCGCAGCCCCTGGGCTGCCGTCACTGCAGAGGACTTGGCGTTGTCCGTAAATGCAAGCGCACACGATGCTGACTTTTTGCCAGGTTTCATCCCCCGACACAAAGGTCCTGAGACCCACAAGTGGCCATCCCACCGGGCTCCTTCCCACCTCGGGGCGGCGTTCCGCCGTGCAGAATGTGCACACCTTGGGCACCCATCGGCGGCGGGGTCTGGCCCGTTTGCAGCTGGGCCGGCCGCAGACGAAGCTGTGTGTCACACGAGTCTTTGTGGGGGCACACGTCGTGACTCCCCGGGGGCTGGGCTGGCTGGCTGCTCTGGTCGGTGTGGATTCGGCTGCCAAGCCGACTCCCAAAGGGGCTGCCCCACGTCGCGCCCCACCCACGGCGGATGACGGTTGCGGTCACCCGCACCCTCGCCGACACCTGGTGGGATCGGTCTTTTTTAGTTTCAGCCGTTCTGACGGGTGTGCCCTGCTTGTCTTCAAAATCCAGACTCTGCAGTAGGTTTCAGGACGCCGCTTCGGGGAGAATTCTCTATAAGACCCTCCTGGCAAGCATGGGGGTGCACGGCCCGCCCCCCGTCTCTCCGGCTCCCACTCCGAAGGACCGGCTGTTCCGAGAACGCATTGGGAGGGAGGAGCAGCAGCAGCCGGACCGCTCCGAGAGGTACGGTGGGCCGGGACGGAAGCGCAGGCCCGACCACAGGGCCCGTCGCCCTGACCTCTGTGCCCCCGCCGGTCCAGCGTGGTCCCGCAGAGCAGAGGCCCCCGGTCTGGGTTCCGGCTGGGGCACGGCACGTTCCTGGGTTATGGTTCCGCCCCGGCCGGTGCACACGGGAGAGGCAGCCGGTTCCTTGTCTCTCCGTCTCCGTCTCCCTCCCTTCCACTCTCTGTAAAAATAAATAAACTAAACCTTTTTAAAAAGTAGAATGTAAAATAGAAATAGGCAAAGAGCCCTGACTGGTGCAGCTCAGTTGGTTGGGCCTCTGCCCACGAAGCGAAAGGTCCCAGTTCGATCCCTGGTCAGGGCACGTGCCTGGGTTGCAGGCTCCATGCTCTACCCCCTCTCCGGGTCCTTGCCAAAAACAGCCAATCACAGTGTCTCACCCTCCCTCTCTCCCTCCCTCCCCTCTCTCTAAAAATAAATAAATAGAATCTTCTTTTAAAAAAATCCCTGCAGAACCTACTGTGGAAAGGCAGTGAGTAAATATTTATTGACTAAATGAGTGTGTTAATATTTTATCATGTTAAATAAGAGAGATGGCAAACGATAAATGCAGTGTTGAGAGTCGGGGGATTTTAGAGCAAGCGGAGACCTTGGGAGCTACGGAGCCGACCTGCTCACTCCAGAAACGAAGCACTGGGGGGTCTGGGGCCCCCCCTCGGGCATCGCCAGCTCCTGGTCATCCCGGCCCGGGAACCGGGACTCCCGTTGCCCAGAGGACCACCTGCCCCTGGCGTCCCGCACTCCCATCCACTCTTCTCCAGAAACTGAGGTTCCTGACCTCCGCGTAGCGCTGCTCGCAAGGCACACCCCTTCGGCCAGTTAACATTCTCTAACAAGAGCGATGGAATTATCTAAGCGATCGCCAGATCCAATCGTAACAATAAAACATACTTAGGAAATCTATTAAAAATGGAACTGATGAATATTCTCGCCCTTCTTCCTTTTAAAAAAATACAGGTTTCGTGTAATGAAAAGATACGATTTTTAACTTGCTTGTTCCTAGCGTACAATAAATCCACAGAGAAAGGTAAAACGTGGACGTACTCAGCAGACCTCACTTTATCTAATTCCCTTTTTCAGAGTTCGTAAGCATGGAGCGCTGGGGGTATTTTAATGCTGTGCTAATGAAATGTGACTCTCTGGGCGTTTGGGTAGGAGCTGCACTGTGAATGGGCAGGAAGATGGTATTTTAAGGGAAGGCTAACTGTCCCGTAATGAGCTCTAGCTGCCTCCTAAACCCAGGGAGAGAAGTAATAGCCATGAAGTACCCCATAAAACGTGGGCGTTGCCGGGGAGCTCCTCAGGGTCGCCAGAAGCAGCAGGAATGGAGTGGAAGTTCACTCTCCGTGGCTGCTTCTCGGCCGTTGCCGCCCCCACCCCCGCAGTGGGGCCCGGGAGACTTCCGGAGAGCCGGAGAAACAGTTATTCTCCAGACGCACACGCACGCTCACGCTCGCACACACGGCACGGCACAGCACCTCCGTCTCTTAGGGACCGAGTTGATGTTCTAGATCAGCTTGGAAAAGCTGGGGACTCCCCTCCCTTCCCGTGGACGTGTGATCCCTTCGGTGATCTGGTTCCCACAACGCAGACTGCCTAACTTAAATAATTTCCCCAGTTCACAAAAACACCCCTTTTCAGCCGTGTCTGCCCAGTCCCGTGCCGTAGTCGGCCAGCTCAAACCACAGTTGAAAATCTTAGCGCAAAGGTGGCAGCGTTCTCCTCCTGCAGCTGCCACCCCACCTGCCGCCACACCCTGGCAACACAGGGGGGCCCACCCGGCACGTCTGCCCCCTCCAGGTCTGGCTCTGGCCCCGAGGAGCCCCGGGCACGGGAGTGGTCCCCAAGGCACAGCACTAGCTGAGCGTGTCTCCTTCTTTGGGACAAGGGGGCGGCGAACCTCCGTGGTTGTCCCGGGTCGAACGGAGAGCGGGGCGCGGTCTCGCGCAAGCACCCTGCCTCATCTGAGCGCCTGCCTGTGGTTTCAGAACCCCGCCCCCGGAGGAGAAGAGGCCCAGGGCCAAGAGTGGGACCAAGGAGGAAGCTATCGAGAAACTGCACACCTGCGTGCAGCCGCAGGACCCAGCGCTCAGGAGACAATTTCTGGATTTCAGCAGGGAACCCGACGGCAACACTAACGTGTGTGACTTCAGGAAGGTACGGGAGTGGGTTTTCTCTGCGTTTCTGCGTCTCTCTTCCCTGAAGACGTTCTGTCGTCTCATTACACCAGCGTGTTTTGCAGGTCGAGGGCAGAATGGGGTGGGGTGCCTCCCGCCTGCGATGGGTCCCTCCGGAGGGTGGAAAACAGCCGCAGCACCGAGGGGACCCTCGGGGCGCTGGTGCGTGTGTGCTCCTGGGAACTGGGGAGGTGCTGCCAGGAAGGGCACCCGCCGACTTCCCAGAAATCCGCTCCACGGCTGCTTCGAGTCCCAGAGATGCGCCCCGCCCCCGCCTGCCCGCCCGCCGATCACCCTCAGCTGGCAGGTAGCCGTGATCCTCTGGACGCGTTTGGAGGAAGGCGATGAAATGCATTTCCAAGAAGAATGTGATTCTATTATATCGGCGGCTACTATTTATCTAGTGTGCGCTCCCGTGCCAGATGCCGTGACAGGCTCTTCACCTGTCTCACGCTCTAGCTGCCGCGCGGCAGCGCCCCAGAGGCTGGGTGGGGTGGGGGTCGTGGCACAGAGGTGGCGTTAGGCGGCTGTGGAAACCGTGCAGACAGACCTCCCGTCCCCGGACAAAGGACGTGGGGTACGGGGAAGAGGGCAGGGTCGGGAAGTGCTGAGGAGGGCGGACACTGTGTAAGGGAGAGGAAAGACGCCCGGACGGCTCCTGGCCTACTGGGTTGGGGACCGAGAGGCTCGTAATTAGTCACTGGTGACCCTGAGGAGAGCATTTTCCGTGGGGTGAGTGGCGGCCAATGGGGGCAAACTGTCTAACTCTCCCGGGGCGCCTGTCCTAGATCCTGGACCCCAGATGCCATTGCCCCCCAAGTCACCCGGCTCCAGTCCCCTCACACTTAGGGCCTGGAAGGACCACAGGCTCAGTGGTCTTGGTTCGCAGAGTCTGCTCACAGGGTCCCAGGAAACCCGGGGTCCACCACTGTGCCTCTCCGTTTCCCGAGACAGAGCGCGGCCACCCGTGAGAAGAATAGCAGGGGCGGCAAAGCTGGGCTGAGTTCCGTGGCCACGGCTCTGGGGGCACCCCCTTACCTGTCACCTGAGACCACCTGGCGTCCGTAAGCTCAGCTGCGGGTCCTTCCGTGTTAAGGCTCCATGGATGAGCCGGCGACTCCCTCGTCCGCACCTCTGGGTCACACCCCAGACCGCTGTCCTGAAGCCGCAGCCTCAGGCGCCCGCCTGCCTGTGTGACGTCCTCCCGTGGGCGCGTGAGAAATGCCGGGTCCTCGCCAGAGCCACTCGGCCAGCAGCCTGACCTTCTGCGCCAGGGGCGACCTTTTTCCCCAGTTGCTCAGGACTCAGTCTCGGCGTCTCACTCGGTCCCCTCTTCCTCCCACGCCCACGTCCAGGTTCATCAGCACGGCCGGTCAGTTCCTGGGCAGCTGCCCCAGAGTGCAGCGGCCACCGCCACCCCACGGCCATCCCCGTCTGCTCACGCAGGGGTGGGCCGGCAGCCTCACCGTTGCTCTCTCCGCCGCAGCTCGTCCTCCGCCCCGCAGCCAGGCCGCCCCTCCGCCGAGTCAGTGCGGGGGCTGCTCCTGCCCAGAATCCTCCGTGGCTCCCCGTCTCCCCAGAACGAAGGCCGGAGTCCAAGGAGGACCCAGCCCCTCCGTCCCTCTCGGACTGTGGCTCCCGCCCTTGCTCGGCCGCCCGGCCCCCTGCTGTTCCTCGGGACACTGACCCTCTCCGCCTTCGCACCGCGCACCGACTGTCCCCTCACCTGCAGTGCGCTCCCAGAGGGGAGGTTACTTTTAATAGCACGGCCCCTCCACACCCTCCTGTGGGTTCAGATGTGGGTGTGCAACGGTCCCCAGATCTGCGTCTCTGTCTGTCGTGAGAGCACGGAAGTGGTGGTGGAGTTTCGCCCGGGGTGTGGGGGACGGAAGCTCTGCGTCACTACGCGTGTGTGCCCAGGGAGGCGTGCACGCAGTGACTCGGCCCGTGGACCCAGGCGGCGCTCGGCCGCTGGCCCGCGTGCTTCGAGTTGTAGACCAGGGCTGCTCCTTCTTTGTGGTCGCCAGCCATCGCCCAGCCTGCGGCGGGGGCGGGGCTGGCTGGCTGGCCTGGCTGGCCGGGCTGGCCGAGAGAGGGAGGGAGGGCGGCAAGACCAGAGGAGCCTGGAGCTGGTGGGGACTCACCCGTGGCCCAGCCCGTCGAGCCCCGGGGCGGCCGTTGCCGGGACCCTACCCTGTCCTCCCGCCGTGGCCAGGAGATTTCGTTCCCTGTGCAGACTCAGCTTGTTAGCTCGTCATGTCTCTGTCCTCCTCGTTTTCCCTCTTCACGGTGGGAGCTGTCGGAGTGTCTGGGGAGCGTGCCGTAGCACGGCTGTGGTGCTGTGGCACGCGTTGATGGTCCTCACAGAGGCAGAGCCATGGGCGGGGGCAGGGGTGATGAACTCTTGAGTGCTTTTTACAGGGGCGGGGGCAGGTACTGTTCTCTCTGGACCTGGGCCAGCTGGGTCTGAGTATCTTACCTCATGTGGTGCATCATTTCTCACGACGGTCCTATAAACCTATTTTTCTCCCAGGAAGTCCCCTCTCCCGGTTCATTGCTCTGGCCGCTGTACCCTATGGCTGGTGACTTTTGCCTATTTTTTAATGTCATTTTATTTAATTGTGAGTCAAAAACTGGTGGTGTTGTGGGAAAACTGTTCTTGAACTGTAGGGGGACCTAGAATCTTTATACTCTTCTCTATCTACTTTTTCTTCCTTTCTCCCTCTCCTTCACGAGCTGAATTAGCAGCAAACCCAAAAACAGTGTCTTCAGTCAAAAAGGTGGCCACTTTTCTGTTTCGTAACAAGGAGTCTGGGTGTTGTCTGTTCAAGACCAATGCAGCAGCTTGATGGTGCCTTCAGAGACCCGGACTGCTTCTAGCCTTCTCCTCTCATCTTCATGCATGCAAGATGGCTGCTGGAGCACCAGCCATTGCACACATGTTTCAGGCATACTGAAAGGGGAAAGTGAAGGGGAAAAAGCTTGAGCAAGACAAGTCTTTCTTTTTTAAGACAGCCTTCTTAGAAGCCTCTCCCAGCAGCTTTACTTTGTGGGCTAGGACTGTGCGTGCATGTGCATGAGTTTTGTCTGAGCACATTCCCACCCACAGAAACAGCCAGGCCTGTTCCCACAGGAGAAGGAGAGAACATGCGTTAGGCAGGCAAATGTAACAGCCGCTGCCAAACCTTTTTCAGTGAACGTTTCGAGGTGCCTGGCGCACACTTGGCGTAGGACTAAGCCCCATGGGGACCATGGGTAGCAAAGAAGTTCCAGTGCTCAGTGACAGTGACCCACGGGGGGCGTAAAGTGACAAACACCCAAGGACACATACGTCATGCTTAGTCTCACTGAGTAATTAGACTAAGTGAGCCACTCCATCCATCAGGAGTCTGAGGACGGCCTCGCCGTCCCAGTTCCCTGTAATTGGCCGCTCCTGACGGGAAATTGTTCCTCCTCACCCTCAGCAAACACACTCAACGCCGTCTGGCCCCCCGTGAGTCTTAGTTCCGTCGCTGGCGTCCCCGCCGAGGTCTCCGGAGGCAGACCCAGGGCTGCAGAGCTCATCTGCAGGCTCCCCGAGCCCCCGCGACGCGAGTGGGGGATGCACGCGCCCGTGACAGCCCAGCCCAGCGTCCCAGATTCCCAGCACTTCTGGCCCCTTGCGTCTCGTCTGCACCCACCCCCCCCACCTGCGGGGCTCCTGGCCCTGCCTAGGAGCATGTGCGCTTCCCTGCTTCCTCCCAGCGGGCACCTGGTGCCCTCCGGGGGCAGTTTGCACCCTCCCCAGCCCACTACCACTGCCTCCCAATCGCACCCCGTCCTTCCCACGCAGCAGACGAGGACCCCGTGTCAGCCAGGCCCCCGGACGCCGGCGAGTGTCTCCTGGCACTCGGGTGCGCGTGAGCAAGCGGAGTGACCGTGGGGACTCTGGGAGAATCATGTTGTTTTCAGGTCAAGTATTAAGTATGGTAATCCATCTGGTTTTACATCTGCTTCGGAAGGATACAACTCTGGTAAACTAAGCACTTTAGAAACTAGTATCCACTAGGGTCCGTTTTGTGAGGGGGGAAGCACACAAACAAGGGAACAGTGAGAAAGACCAGCCGAAACGTCCACAGTAAGAGAAACGCGTATGGACACTGAGTCCGAGGCCCAGAGAGCGCGGGAGACCCTCAGAGGCGCCTGCCCACGTTCGCCCTGTCGGGGCTGCCGCTGTGGTGCTCCTTCCAGGTCCCGCCGCCTTCTGACTGCGTGAGCGAGAGTGGAAGGGAGCTCCCGGCGCTCCGCCGGGGCAGCTGGGCCAGGGGCCCCCCGCCTCAGGTGAGAGCGTCCTTGGGAAGACGGAGGGAGGACCCTGTCCCCGAGGGCAGGTGGGGGAGGGACGACTCGGCTTAGCTCTCCAGCTTCCTGACCTTGCAGACGCGGCGCTTGCGTTGGAGGCCCCTCACGTCTTCAGTCTTGTGTGTCCACACCCACCCAACCATCAGAAGTGTAAACACGTATTCATTTCTCCGTCCTCAGGCACCAGCCCTCCGCCAGAGGCCGGAGCTGGCTTCTCCCGCAGCCGGCCGGGCCCCGGCTGCCTGCCTCCTCTGGCGCAGGAGCAGCGGCAGACCCTCGGTGTCCGGTGTCCACCGCCCACACCGCTAGGGCTCCTGCTGCTGCCCCGGGGTTCCTCCAGGCCTGTCTCCCCGCTGGGCCTCTGTCTCCTGGGGCCACAGTGTGAGGGCTTGCGCTCTGCCTTTCAGAAGTTTCCAGCCTCGGGTTTGGACTCCAGCCCCCAGCAGTTCCAGGGGCTGGCACGGGTCTGGAAGGGGAAACCAGGCCCGCTGTGAGCCAGCCCCCTCCCGTCTGCATTTCGGAGATGCTAGCGCCACATACCTAGTGAACGCTGCCGGAGGGGCCCTGCGCCCGGCCCTGCGCCGGCTCTCGGGCTCGGGTCCACTCCCAGGACCCCCAGCTGCTCCCAGGGAAAGTGCT